GATGAGTCACTGCGCAAGAGAGTCTCTTTCAGTGATGTTGGCATCCCAGATAAATGGTATACTCGCGTCACCGAAATCAACGTCAGTCAACCAGCCTGGATCGTGTATACCTCCGGCAGCACAGGTACACCAAAGGGCGTGGTTCTTACTCATGCCGGTATCTCGTCTAGTCTGGACAGTCAGAAGAAGGTCTTTGGTCTCAGCAAGATGTCACGAGTGCTTCAATTCGCAGCACATACCTTTGATGCTGCTATCCAAGAGATCTTCACCACTCTGTCTGCTGGAGGATGTGTCTGTGTGCCCTCTGAGGATGAGAGGATGAGCGATCTGCAGCATTTCATCATTGAAAGGGCTGTCAACTTCCTGTCTATCACACCCACGGTTGCTGAGCTTCTCAAGCCGTCGCAGCTACCCAACGTCAACACGGTCGTCTTGCTTGGTGAACCAGTCAAGCCATCAGTCCTCGACTTGTGGATGGACCACCACGCAGACATTCTTGGTGGATACGGCCCAACCGAATGCTCCATCTACGCCATCGTGTCAGCGACCCCATTCACGGACAGGAAGCAGGCCAACATACTCGGCTCTCCTCTACCAAGCTGTCGTGTTTGGGTCGTTGATCCCGATGACTACGACAACCTCTGCCCAATTGGTGCCCCGGGTGAACTTCTCATTGAGGGTCCTCAGGTCTCGCAGGGCTATTTGAATGATGCCGCCAAAACAGATGGCGCGTTCATTACAGACCCTGGCTTTACAGCGCGTTACAGCCTTGGCAGCGGACATCGCATGTACTGCACAGGCGACTTGGTTCAACAGAATGACGATGGGACATACACCAATCTCGGTCGTCGGGATACACAAGTCAAGATTCGCGGTCAGAGAATTGAGTTGGGGGAGATTGAGTACTCAGTGGTGCAATCATCGGAAGATATTAGATCAGCAGCGGCTGTGTTTGTCAAGAGGGAGGATAGACCTACGATTGCAGTGGCAGTGGAAGTTGGAGGGGAACAGGTTGGAGATGGAGTGTTGGCTCCCTCAGAGACGCTGCGAAAGGCGTCGGAGGAGATTCGCTTCAAGCTCGCTGAGGTGTTGCCTCAGTACATGATTCCCGATTTCTTCATCCCTATGGGCAAGTTGCCGGTGAACTCATCAGGCAAGCTTGACCGTCGGGCAATCACTGCGGTTTTGGAGGACATGGACGATGGAAAATTGGAGGAGTATCGCCTTACCACAGGCGCTCAATCAGTTCCTGTCTCGACAAACATGGAGAAGCAACTTCAGCAGCTCTGGAGTCAGGTCCTTCGACGTCCTGCGGAGTCAATCGGCGCAAGCGACAACTTCTTCCATCTCAACGGAGATTCACTTGCTGCTATTCAGCTCGTCGCAGCAGCAAGAGCAGTTGATCTCAAGATGACCGTCGCTCAGATCTTCCAGAGCCCTGTCCTGAGAGATCTTGCTGCACATCTCGAGCAAGTTACACACTTACACGACGCAACAAGTCATCATGTTGAGGGAGTCGACCAGTCAACCCAAGAAGCAATCAAGGCTTCTCTTCCCAGCACCTTCGATGTCGAAAAGATCCTCGAAACAACCGAGTTTCAGTCCCTTGTTCTTCGCGAACATACACAGGGTCGATGGCTCATGCACGCGACAATCACATACAACCAAAAGGTCGACAAGCAGCGCGTCCACACCGCGCTCCAAACCACAGTCGATAAGAACGAGATCCTCCGAATAGTCTTCACCCAGCACGGCGGAAACTCCTACCAAGCCATCCTCAACAACTTCACCGTCCCCTTCCACGAACACACTACATCCACGGACCTATCCACTTTCTGCAAAGACCTCATTGAAGAAGATCAGAAGAAACATCTTGAGCTTCACGAACCCCCCTTCAAGACATGGTTCGTCCAAGGCGAGCACAAGGACAGTCTTGTGGTTAGAATCTCCCATGCGCAGTATGATGGCATGTCGCTGCCGATTTTCTTCCAGCAGCTTCAGGCGTGGGGTGAAGCAGATGTTGAGGTTGAGGCCCCGCGACAGATGTCGTATTACATTGATGAGCTGAGGGCGATTGATACCAAGCCCGCGATGAAGTTCTGGGGCGATTTGCTGGAAGGCTCGAGTATGACTGGTCTCCCTAGTGTTTCGCAAAGAAGCAAGGCTATGACTGGCTCTTATATCGTCAAGACGGTGCCATCTCCAAAGGTCGAAGGGTCAGGACTCACGGTGTCATCGTACCTCAAGGCCGCTTGGGCAATGGTCCTCGCCAAAGCAACCGGAACATCCGACGTTGTCTTTGCGCATCTTGTCTCCGGCCGCTCTCTACCCATCGACGACATAGAAAAGGTCAACGGTCCATGCGTCAACCTCATCCCCATCCGCGTCAACACCGCTCAACCCCAAGCTACAATTCTTCAACAAGTCCACCAGCAGCACATCTCAGCTTTATCACACGAACATCTCGGCTGGGAGACTATCTTCCGCCAATGCACGAACTGGCCTACTTCCACAGATATGCCTCGCTTTTCTTCGATCCTTCAGTACCAGAATCTGCCTGAGGCTCAGAAGAGCTTTGGCATGCATGGTGCGGAGTGTAGTGTTGACTACACTGTTGTGCCACCTAATGTTACGGATGTTTGGGTCACGGTTGAGCCCAAGGGTAGTGAGATGAGTATTGTGGCGGGATACTCGGAGGATGTTATTGCTTCGGAGGTGGTGGAGGGATTGATGGAGGATCTTTGTCAGCTGTTGAAGAGCATTGAGGCTTGAGGTTGATAGCGCACCATTTTCATAATGTTAGTTCTTTTTGGGAATCTTGGATGCTGGAGTTCGGAGTTCGGAGTTGGCTTTGGTGCTGTTTCTTGAGTTTAAAAATTGGATTAGTTAGGCTTTCATAGAAAATATCTCTATTTCTTCTCTTGAACCTTACACCTTCAGTCATATTCCATCTCCATTTTTGCAGTGCCTTGCTGAAAGCGCATTGCTACAGCTTCCCGTCGGATGTTCCAGGAGCTCTCTGCCCTGAACCATGAACAGCCCAGCGCGCTACCCGTGCTTCTCGGAGCTAAGCCCACTGTAGCCAGGATCTGTGTTTACGAACACGATGAGCCCATTACTGCTTGCATGCCTCAGGGCAGTCGACATGCGCTTTTGCCACCATTAGGTAGTTTATTCTCTATTGTTAGAGTACTATTCAATTTGAGAATGAATAGACATGTTATTAGAGTGAGTATCTATCCTGGGCTAAAACGTCCAATTGCTCCATCACTACCGCCATCGAAGCCATCGTGGATCAAGTCAATATGGTTAGACTTGCTGATCAACTCAATTCCCCTACGTCTTTGACTTTCAACTCGTCTCCAATCCCACTCGCTACTCTTCCTAACACCGATATCCGTAACATCCTGTTCCGCTGCCTCCAGGTCCTGCTCGCCAATTGTCCATCCTCCCGGTCTTGTCGGCAGCAGACCAGCCTCCTCCAGCACAGTCGATGGCGGCACCGTAAGACGCTTCAACTTAAAAACATACTTGCTCAAAGCAGTAGCGTATATTTTCTTGCTCAAATTGGCAGAATCTTTAAGCAGCGGTCGTGTCGTTGTCCTCGCAAACCGTGGATCAAGCCACTCTGTCGGAAGCGCTGTGCCCTTTGGCACGAAATGCGTGACAATGTACAACCACTTTCGATCCCAAGTCAAGACATAACTCCACATTTCGACTTGCTTGAAAGCTGTGATTTCACGTCGGAAGCAGGTTTCAACGGCGCCAAGATTTATTCCGAGTCTTCCGCCCATCGGTGCACCAGTCTTTGGGTCAAGAACAATCCCAAGCTTGGTGTTATTGGATAATCGATGGAAGCCATGTCTGAACAGGTAAGCGATTAAATGCGCGCGCCCAACGTCAAGGTCAGCGAAATATGTCGAGTTGGACTTGTGGAGGTAATAGTCGACTTCAAGCAAGGAAGTTGAAGTCGTGGCGATGATAGGCTTGAACAGCGCTTTGGGGCCCAACTGTGGTGATCTGCGGAGGACTGTGTGATACGAGATTGTGTATAGAACGCGAAGCTGCTCATCTTGTCAGCGCGTGACCGGCAGTAAGAGGGTAAATTTTGGCGACTTACTGTCCAGACGAACGGCATCGATTTGAAGTTTGACACGACGAATATGACAATCAATAACCCCAATATTCGCGCGCCTGTAATTTGAAGTTTGAAGCCGTGTTTTGTGTCGTCCGTCTTGTCAAATGCAGCGACCAGAATCGCAAAGATCAGGACGCTAAGTCCCGGTGTTTTCAACTTGCCCAAGCCGAGCGCCATGATGATTTTCAATCGAGGTTCAGCTTGACAGAAGCAATAGAGGCAAAAGATGTGTTCCTGACGTGTGAAAATGACTGAAGGGAACAATATGTCGTGGTTCAGAAATTGCCATGTTGTCTTACGGGGTTCTGAGGATCAGCGGCGCAATCAAGCTCCGGCTGCGGCCTTCGCTCACTATAAGCTGCTATTGGGGCACTGCAAGGACGGGGGATCTGAGGGCGGGATTGCAGGATCAGGATCGTAGGGGAGATTGCGGTTGGTGTTGGTCTTGTCCGCTACAGACCATTGACATCGATCCAGCCTGTAAGCAATCAAAGCAATGAGAGGCCAGTTTACAGGTGGTATCCCAACAAAAACACACGACTTATTTGAATGCTGTGGTCTTGGGTGCGGTATTTAAGTTACTATGTCTTGTTGGTCTTATCGTAGATGCTGCGACACTGATGGTGAATGAACCGAGATTTCACTAAGGTACTGTGCACATCACCTACTGAGCAACGAGCATGAGGTGGCCTAAGCTCACTGTAACGGGGCACTAAATGGCGGTTGAACCCCGCTAAGGATGCGAGCCTAATTCTAAGGTCGTACGTCACTGTAACAATATTTTTGAATTCAACATGATTGTCATTGCGATGATCTTTAATATTCTTTCGCAGCATTACATCCTATATACCAATTTGCCCTTCTAAACATTCGATAAACGCAAGTATATCATCTCCGGCCGATGCGCAACACCAGGGAAAGGCTTGAAGCTCGACAGCGGCTTAGGCGTCGGCTCCAGATTGAAGTGCCAAACAATAAGCGCCATCATGATCTTGACCTCCAGCGCAGCCCACTTACGACCTATAAGACCTATCAGTAACTGAATTACAGCGCATGAGTACACACTAAACTTACCGAAACATGCCCTGGGACCAGCACCGAATGAATGTCGTGGTCCAGCGTTGGGATTAAACGTCAATCGTCCCTCTTCATCTTTGACGAGCCATCGCTCTGGATCAAAGTCTCTCATACCCTTGACGTTCCATTGTCCGATCTTACCAGCGGTGCCCTTCGAGCTCTCCGATCTCTTCTCTTCGTCAACGGACAGCGGAGGCATGAAACTTCCAGGGCCATTGTTCAGCATCAGAATCTCTGTATGCTTGGGAACCATGTGACCCAGAATATTAACCTCTTGCATTGTTGTGCGGATGTTAGTCTGGGTGACTGAACCACATCGCGTAGACTCTTCAATCATAGCCTCGAAGTACGGAAGTCTCGCGGACATGATCTCTGAAACAGTGGGTGCGTCGCCTCTCTCAACAGCAGCGCTGCACTCTTCCCTGAGTTCATCGCGGACCTTCTTTTGAACATTCTGATGCGTAGTGAGAAACTTGAGGGTCCAGGCAGTCAGAGTGAAGATCTCGTTTCCAGCAAGCATGAAACTGAAAAGCTCATCTTGGACGGTGCGACTCATCAACTCGGGTGTGCGGCCTTCTTTTCGTGCGCTGTCAATTTCTCGTGCGATGACAATATCGACGGCGCTCTTCATGTGTCGCTTAAGATTACCCTGGTCCTCCCAATTGAGATCAGTCTGATTAGAGAATTTATTGATCGCCTTCTTGATCTCGTCTTGGATGACAGCTTCTTTGAGGTTTCGGGCCGCACGTAGAGATGGCATTAGGTTGTAAGCCAACCACAAATGTAGTCCTGGTACAAGCGATTGAACACCAATGTTCATGGCGTCGTTGAGAGCGAGACCGGCTTTGAAAACGGGAGGATCCGGTGCAACAGGGAATTCGACCTCATGATCCATGTCGCCTAAGTTGGTGAACTCGGGCAGCGTCTCAAGAAGTTCAGTCTGCGCATTTGTTGACCCGGAGTCAAAGCCAAAGGTAGCAGCCCAGATGATCTCAAAAGCCGCCTTGCGAATATCTGTCGACACAGAAAACGGACGACCCTTGGCTAATCGCTCTTTGACCCTCCAAAGATCAATCAGCTTCATAGTAGACTTCCACATCTGCGGTCCAGCGACACCACCCAGAAACGCAGGCGACATGGTATCAGCCACAAGCTTCCGATGGGCTTTCCACCGATCACCAGTCGGCATATGGAAGTGAAACTCGGGCACAAGCGGCATGAACAGACTCCTCAAGAACCTCGAGCGATCAAACTCCTTCGGTGTCCGTCTGGACAAAATGTCAAAAGCCTCGCGGTTATCAGCCACGATAACCCATGGTTTGCCGAGCGGGTGCACAAAGATCTGAAACACAGGCTCGTTGAGTTCGACAGCGAGATTAGCCAGATAGCCAAACATTTCGCCGTGTTTTTTCTTCCATTGCAGGAGTTCCCAGGCGTTGCCGAGGATCTTCTTGGCGTTGGCTTCGCGGTAGACGATGCCGGGGATGGGCTTGGGGAGGAGGGCGCGGCGGATGAGGAGAGTGGCTAGGATGAAGACGGCGACGACAATGCCGAGGGTTTGGGGTGATAGGGAGAACATGATGGCGGTGTTTGGGTCGGAATTAGCGAGAGTGCCACTAAGATTGTTGGAGTAGTAGGTTATAGTCTATATAAGCCGCAGAAGCCAATTGCGTTCAGTGCTTACGAGTGCTGAGGCTCTGGCAAGGATCAGAGGATTACAGGATCCGAATGTCAATTCGCATGCTGTCAGCGATACAGAAAAATGGCATGTTTATTATCTCTTGACAGCCCGAGATCTTAGTGTCTTTTCTGCAGGAAGATGCAGGTAAGATAAAGTGCGGCGAAACGTTAATAACTAGTGTTGCTGAATTGGTCAATCCTCGACTCGGGAGGCTTACTTGTGATCCTGCAATCCTGTAATCCTCTGACCCCGCGATCCCCAAGCTGACAGTAGACATTCTGGTTACACAAAGTCATTTTCGTGGTACGATGTTGTTATTATAATTGAACATGGCTCTATTTGATGGAGCATTGTTCTTCGGTCTTCATCTGTTATCCGACTTCATCCACTGTCTCCGTCTATTTATCAGCGCAACTCCGTTGGGTCAACAGTTCTGAAACTACATTCTCCACAGTTGATACCGACGCTACGGATAACCCTGAATACTCAGCCAGGATGGTCTTTCAACCTCCCTCGTGGGTCCCTGACATCACAACCCAGATCCCTCCGAATGCAAACGTTGCTGAGTGGGCGCTCGAGAGCCGACGTGCCACTGGTAGTGTTCGTGCACCATTCATCTGTGCCTTGACGGGTAAGAAGTATACCTTCAAGGATGTCAGAGAGAAGGTCAACGCCTTGGCGAAAGCTTTGGGCAATGAACTTGGATGGTTGCCGAATCAGGGCACTGCCGAAGAAAAGGTCATTGGTGTTTTGGCGGTCAATTCGGTACGTTGCTCAGAACTCCAATGAGCTTGTAATACTCACCACTCTGTAGCTTGACTTCCTCGTTGTTTGCTGGGCCATTCATCGCATCGGCGGTATTTGCCTACTCCTTCAGCCAACTACTTCACCCGTTGAGATTTCCTCGCACATGACCAAAGCTAAATGCGACATCCTCATCACGTGCGAAGAACTACTGCCCTCGTGCAAAGAGATCTTAAACCGTCTTCCCAAGGCCCCTCGACGAATCTTCTCGATCAACTCCAGCAACACTCAATTGCCAAATTTTGAAGGAGAGATCAAGTGCCTACCTCAGCTTTACCAGGAGGGCAGTGACCTCCCTGAGCTTGCGCAGCTTCAGCCAAAGGATGCTCACACCACAGTTGCGTTCTACCTTACCACGAGTGGAACTTCAGGACCTCAGGTACACCAAGCATTCTCACCTATATCAGTGTGACCAAGGCTAATGAGATTAGAAACTCGCCATAATCACGCATGCAAACCTCATCGCCAACGTCACTCAAGCCGCCGTCTTTGAGAGCTCAGCTAGGTACAAACACCCGGATATCGGCCTTGGCGTACTGCCGCTCAACCACGGCTACGGTCTCGTCACTACACATGCTATGTTCGTGAGAGGTGACTCGGCAGTTCTCCACCCCAACTTTAACATGCAATTGGTACTTAAGTCAATTCAAGAACACCGCATCTCGCGTCTATATCTGGTACGTCACATTTGCAGGTGTTTGAGATCAATTTAGCTGATGATGCAAGGTACCTCCGGTCATTGCCGCGCTTGCTGCAAACCCAGTTCTCTTCGAGATCTTCGACCTCTCCTCTGTTCAAGATGTCGTTCTTGGTGCTGCGGCTTGTAGTGACAGTGTTACAAAGAAGATGAAGGCTTTGATGCCTAGTTGGAGTCTCTTGGTCGGATACGGTAAGCTAACACCATCACTTGGGCAGCGTCCCTAGCTCTGACTGACACCCCTGGAATAGGCCTGACTGAATGTGTATCCATTGTGACTTTCAGTCGCGCGGCTGATATCATGCCTGGATCGAGCGGCTGTTTGTTCCCGTCCAATCAAGGCCGTCTTATCGACCAGGACGGGAAGGAGATCACTTCGTATGACACTGCTGGAGAGCTCTACCTCAAGTCAGCCGCCATGATCCCAGGGTACCTAGGCGAAGATGATGCTATGAGAGCCAAGTTTACAGTTGATGGATGGTTGCCAACTGGCGACATCGGCTTCTTCAGAAGAAGTCCCCATGGCGATGACCACCTTTACTTGGTCGACAGACTCAAAGATATGATCAAGGTCAAGGTATGTCTTCCTCCACCTTTCCCTGCCTCATTACTGACAGTGTATCCAGGGTCTACAAGTCAATCCCGCTGAGATCGAAGAGCTACTTCGAGTACAGCCCGGTATCTTGGACGCAGCAGTCATTGGTATTGTAGACGATGAAGCAGGTGAACGACCACTTGCCTTTGTCGTACCAACCAAGCAGGATATGACTGCCCAAGAACAGAAGGAACTCATCCTGCAGTTGGACGAGAGCATCAAGGCACAGCTAGATGAGACGCACTGGCTACGTAAGCAGATTCGCTTCATTGAGGAGCTTCCACGTGGGCAGAGTGGCAAGGTACTGAAGAAGATTCTGAGAGAAAAGGCAAAGCAGAAGGACCTGCCGCCCATGAATGGGACAAATGGTAGCCTCCCGGTTAAGAGTATCAATGGGGCGAACAGGATTCATGCACAAGGGACAAGCGAAGTAGCCCGAGTTTAAGTCATCTTTCGTTAAGTAGTCAACTTAGTTTGAAGATTGAATTGTAATTAGTTCATCGAATACAAAATTGACACCTTAATGCGGACAAATGATACGACGCAGGTAATTCACTGCGGTAAACAGAGGCTAGTACCTCGTCTCTGATGTGACAGGAAATCTTGATAACTAAGTGGCCAGTCGCACCTAGCGCGTCTTGCTCCCTAGTGCCTGACCCACAGGACCCCAGACCTGATCGTTATTCAGGGCGGTATAGATGATTGAAACCCAAGATCCAATAGTTCTTTTCTCACGCCCATTGATCTTGCCCCCGGCATCTTTACCAGGGTGCTCAGCCAGCCCTTGATGGAAAGGAACGCCCAGTTCTTCTCTTACAAATGAGTATAATGTCAGAGAAGCGTGGCCAAGGAATTGCTTTGTGGGAGGCTTGACAAAGAACTCGCTCCGTGTCTGAGTGAAGGTCAAATAAGCCAAACTCTCCAAATCTCCCCGGAATGACTGTAAGAATTCAAGATCCATCTCACATTCGTCGGGATAATCCCGGAGTATTGATACTATTTCTTTGGAGAGAGCCTTACATCTATCTTCAAGGTCGAAGCACGCCGAGGCATTCCACGCTTTTGTGATAGTCTCATGGAGGCTCTCATAGATCCCTTCCGCGACCTGATTTTCAATTCCATTGAGGAGCGGCTGCACTATAGAGACCAGCTTGCTTCTGAGCGATTCGAGATACGTCATGTGTAGAACTCGCAAGTCCAACGCCTGACAAACAGCGAAAAGATGCGCGGCACACATTTGTGTGACAACATCAGCAGCTTGAAGAGTATATCTTCCCGAGATCAGCGCAAGAGAGTTGATAGACTGGTTATGCATCTCTGCAGACTGGACATGGGGCGTAACAGGGTTGGCGAGATATCCAAGCTCTGATAGGTAGGCAGCCATGCTGATATCAATTCCCTTCATGGTAAAAGATAAACTGGGATCGTCGGCGACGAGATTTGGAGGAAGACCTCTGTTCATGGTAGGGTTTATCAGTTCGGAGGAGAGGCTGAAGAGAAGTTTTCCAACCATCTGGAGAGCCAGGCGTGTCTTTTCCATCCCGTTGGCCACCGAGCTAGAGATAAAGTTGGCTCCGGAATAGACCTCACCGGAATTGATATCGATAATGGGGTTATCCGAAGTCGAGTTGAGTTCCACTGTGATCTGGGATAGTACGGAGCACACATCCTCAATTTGGGGGCCTAACCACTGAGGAGCTCCTCTCAAGGCATATCTATCCTGGGCAAGACCGGGCCTGAACTTGTCCTCTTCCTTGAGACTTTGAACGAGTGACGATCCCTCGAGGAAGTGCAGTATAGTTGCAGAACATTCGACCTGTCCTGGATGAGGACAAACAGAAGATATAAATGGATGGTAATTCTCTGCCTTTCCGAGTAAAGACTCGCATGACATGGCTACGAGGCCTTGAGCTAGTAACAAGATCTTGTTCGCCTCATGTACCGCAAGGCAGCCCAATGCGGCTGAAGGAGCTGTGCCATTGACGAGCCCCAGACCTTCCTTGGGCCCAAGGGTAATTGGTTCCAGTCCGGCCAGCTCAAGGGCTTTGTCGGCAGTGAGAACGAATGAGGTCGTTGTGCGGACGCGAATGTCGGGGTTGCCCTCGAGCATACCAGCGATGTACGATAGGGGAATCAAGTCGCCCGATGCGGAGATGGATCCACGTAGGGGAACAATAGGTGTCATACCCTTTCGGAGTAGAAGAAGAAGGGCTTGGACAAGTTCCAGACGGACGCCTGAGTGTCCCCGAAGCAACGTGTTACAACGTATCAGCATCGCGGCCCGAACCCAGGTGACGGGCATGCTGTTGAGCCCATTGCCATTCGTGTCTTCATCGGTTAAGATCCCAGCCTGTGTGAGTTGCAGCAGTGCCGATTGTAGAGCGGGGAGGTCCTTTGTACGAGTATCAGCGCTTCCGCCGAAGCCTGTATTGACACCTAACATCCAGTTAAACTAAAGCGTCGAGACAGTAAGAGCAGGTGATTTACCGTATACGAAGTAGCCCTTGGCGAGATAGCTTTCGAGCAGCACCACGCTTTTATTCATAGCATTTGCTATATCGTCTCTCTTTGCGACGTAAGCGTTGCAGTTGTATCTGGCATCTTTATTAGTCTAGTGTACTGTAACACAAATGGTGACTTACTTGGCTACTGCAATAACGGAAGCGACATCAAGTTCGGATCCATCTAGAACAACAAATCCGCAGTCCTTGATACTCTGGATCCTTTTCCAGATGTCGCTGGCTTGAGAGGCATGAGTAGGTGAATGACATGAATCCTCAGAATTCTTGATGCCTCTAGACGCATCACGGTTCTGGTCGGAGGATGCAGTCACATGGTGACCACAGCCGGAGAGGCGATCAGTATCTCGAAGAGGCATTTCTAGACGCTTGATATTGAGTTCTACACAATATTGTCTTTGAGAAGAAAACACATGTGTTTAAGGTGGTTTCGATAGGCTATTTAACCTGTCCAATTTCGGTCCCCGAATCCCGGAAGAGTCATTTGCCCCTCACGTCAGCCTGTACCAGTGGTTTCCATAAGACTGACTGTACGGCGATTTGATAATTGATACTTCATGGAGACACCGGCAGAATGACAACTTGTTATCAGCGGCCGCTTCCTGTAAGCTATCCCGTTTTAGACATAACAAGCATCATAGTGATACGTCGACTTCAGGCAGAATTAGTAAAATGATTATAATTCAGGGGATTACTGGTGTTGGTAAGTTGTGTAATGTATTGGCAGTCTACATTAGCACTGGATTAAGAAAGTCTAGTCGAGACAAACCACAATTTTGACTCACTCTCGGAGATTCCGAGTACGCGGCTCCCGTTTCAAGCCTCGCGATGGCTTTTAAGAACCGTTGAAAATAGAGTTCAGGGGACTACTTGTCTCGGTAAGTCGTGTAACGCCACGGCAAACTATTTTAGCTCCGGGCTGATAGACACTAGCACAACACATCCGAAACGTGAGATCGAAGATCAGCTCGGTCTTCTCTCCATCACTGCTTGCCAAGGCGGTTAGACTCCAATAATTAGTCTTACTAACGAACTCTGTTATACGGTATATGTGTTGATATGTCTTGGCTTGTTGAGGTAATTCAACACGCTAACTGTAGACTGGCAGGCTAGTTATCTATTAGTTGGCCCACCAGACCGAACCTTTTCTTCCAATCCCGTCAAGATAAGAGTTTGATCTTCGCTCTTTGACGCGCCCTGCGAGTGCGCCCTAGAACTCAAAAGCCATGTGGAAAGTCAAACCTCCTTGGCAGATCTACATAACCACCAGCACTGGCTGGAGAACCATGAGGTCTTGCGCCAGTCTGTGATATTAGTTAACGCTCGGACTAAGACTATGCCTTCTCATCTCTTGGTGGCTTGATAGACATGACACGAGATACGACCCAGGATCTCATGGGGGCGCCGGATGCGTTCTATCGGAGACAAGAGTTTATAAAACTCGTGCAAAGCATTGTCGGGGCCCACCTCTTTGCCCGCTTTCACTTTGACGACAAGTTTCTACGAATCTCGTTCCGATACTGCTGAAGATCGCCGATACTGACAAGTATGAAGTCCAACAACATGTCTATGCAAGGCGGGGGGTACTACAATGAGAATTGTACCCTGCAAGGCCTAGCCATCGATAAGGCATTATCTCTTCTTGAGCCACCAAAATACCAAGGTCGGTCAATTTCAGTGCTCTTCAAACACTTCCGCTATCTTGAGCTCCTGTGTCCAATATGTTGAAGTTTCTTTCAACCTCTCAACCATGTCACAGTTGGTCCTTGTATGGGATGATATTTACATGTCTTGCAGGAAGTACCATCACTCTTGCTGACTATGGTTCCTCTGAGGGCAAGAATACGTAAGTCCCTCGTTGCATCTACTTATAACTGAGATGTTAAAGCTCAAGTTACTTAGGATTCGGCTTCTTGCCAACTATCTCTCCAACTTGCCCGGCCTCTCATCCGCAACTCTTGTTTTCAATGATACGCCATTCAACGACTTCTCCAGTCTTTCAAGAACCATTGACATAAACTCATCTTCACTATCACAGAATGGCAGGCTGTCTATCAATCCTCTGATGGTTCCTAAATCCTTCTTCCGACAAGTCCTACCTGATGACTTTGTGGATGCAGGGTTCTCCTTCACAGCCCTCCATTGGCTGCAGCACATGCCATTCTCGTGGGAGACATCGGACCTAGCGAGATACGCTCACGAAGATCTGGTGTCTTTCTTGTCAGCTCGTCATAGGGAAGTTCGACCAAACGGCACCTTGACACTCTGCATTCCCTGCCATGGCGAGATCGGGGTTGACTCCGCGGTTGCGTGTCTACAGGCTAGTATTCGCAGCCTTGCAAGCACCTACCATCTCGATCCGTCGTTCATAGTACGCTTGCCACTTTACTTCCGAACTATGGAAGAGATATTATCATCCATCAATGCCGAGCAGGGAAAATGGATCGTCAAATCTCATGTGGCAGTCCCAATCATGCACCCTTCATGGTCTCCAGCTGTATCAGATAAAGGTGGTGCTGATATGGCAGCCAGAGTCAGGTATGCCTTTGGCGTTACCGGCTTTACAACTGCTGCATGCTCTCGGTTCTTGACGGATGGCACAGGCGCCTATCCCAAAAAGAGAAACCTTAATGAGCATGGCTTTCAATCAGTGGCCATTGCAGAGGCAACTTTCCTTGAGGATTTGTCAGCTTGCTTCAAGGACGAGTTTCTTCGCTCGTATATCACGAAAGACGTTGGTTTTACATACGCCTTTCTTCAGCTCGAAAGACAATAGTAGTGTGTTTTCAATGTCACAGGGTCTGGTCCAAGGGATCATTTGATAAAGGAATATCGTCAATGTGCAAATCAGCTAGACACAAAGTGCTCGGCGTCTTGTGTCTGTGTAAGTCGGCAATGGGGTTCAGGCCAGGATTTTGGACGAAGTATGAGATTGATTGGTGAGATGTATGTGTGTTTGGCTCTTTGCAAGTAAGCGATGTTTTATACCTATAGCTAGTGACTAGTCTGTCTTTGCATAAACACTACTATTGATTGTTCTCAAGGTAGCCAAGAGAGGCCGGAAAGATGAGTCTTTCACTACCAGGTTTGAAAAGTCCCGTGTGAAGCCTTGTAGCAATTTAAAGTCTTCTTGAGCCGCATGAGATTCAGGTAAACTCATTACGCTGGAGATAAGACAGGCGTAAGCGGTGTCAATATGATAGGTACCAAACAGATAGTATAAAGTCACGGCATACGGACACTGCTTTAGTAGTTCATTTCCAGCCTTGAGCACCTGTCTAGAAGCATTCAGAGCTATGGGGAGTTGTGATATTTCCTGTGGCAACTCGACAGTGGTAAACGATGCCTTGTGGAGCATGAAGACTATGCATGTATAGCCAGCGATTGTTAAATCGGCAAGCATCCAGGAATGCAGCTTGTCTTCTTTTGAACTTGTTTTCCAGGTGTCCTAATAGAGTCAGCATTATACCGAACCCACAGCCGTACTCACTCACGATATCCCAATCCTTGTAGAGATCATAGATTTGCTGGCATAGTGCAAGGACTTGAGTAAACGATTCGCTTTCAAGACGCCCACTGATACTCTCCAGTAGCATGAAGAATTCGGCCATGATGAAAGTAAGACGCGACTTGAAGATAAACCGGATAGTCGGCACCTCTTGCGAGACAGGTCGCTTACAGGACTCCAGCCAGGGTAAGGACACTATCCATTGCTTCATCTGAGCCGTCATGGTGGGAGGGTCGTCGTATACCAGTCGATGAAAGAACTCGTAATGCATAAGCTCCCAGAATCCTCGACGGACTTCGTCGATGTTGTCTTGTCCAAAGCCTGATGGATAGTTCGGGCTGTCTGTGTTATGCAGATCTAGACCTATTGCGTACTTGCTGGCAAGTTGAAACAGTTGGGCACTTAATTGTGGATCTAGTGCATCTGATGCTGCTTGTGTCTGCAAGTCTGATGAGAAGTAGGATAAATGAAGCGAAATGGGAATGCCTACCAGCATAGTAGCAGCGACAAGATCTGTTGTGGATCCTACAGCCTCTCGCTGCCAATTCGGTATGGCGCGGAGACAGCAGATGTACATGCTTCTAGCATAATGTATTCCAGTGAAGTGAACATTTTGTTCTTGATCTATAACAGGTATTGTGCAGCCCATACGTAATATGTAGTAGTATACCACAAGAATAGCTGGGTCTAAGCGAATATGCGGTAAGCCTATCATATCTGGCAGTAGTTCAATAACCCTGCGGTCAACGAGACTAAGGAAGATGTCAGTGGGCATCACCTCAAAGTACCCTAGTATGTGTTTAGCATGCAACCATATCATGTGACGTCCCCGTAGGCTTACGCTGTATCCAGGTTTTGGCAAGCTCAGGTGGTACGTCGATAGTGGCTGTAACTGTCTCGACAGATAGGGCCTGGAGATTGAGGTCTTGTACTCGTCTTAGCGCTTCTTGTAAAACTGCGTGAGGACCTCTCTCAGATTCATGGGGTGATGTCGCCAGCACATTCTTGGTTTTTGAGTGCTTATCATGAGAAGCGTCAGATGCTACAACAACGGGTTGGTCCCTGGAGATGACAAACGGTGATAACCTCGAAGACTGTGTCCCAGACTGGAGATGCGTCGTTTCAAGACTGGCAGGGGTGCCACTCTGGGGCGATGTTGTGGATGGTGACCCTGCACTCTTTTCGATCTGCTCCAGTCGTCGGAGAATAGCGTTCAAAGTGTCATCTGTCGCTCTGGCCCCCTGGTCAGAACATGAAGTCACTCACCCTGCAGGAGAACCTACCCATGGCCGGCGACTCTTTTATTCACTTGTCGTACCTGACGCTCTGGATAGACGCAATCGGTACCTAGATCAGCACACTTGCCACATGTCGGGATCTGGCGATCGCAGCGGACCTAAGCATGGTCAATCAATGCATCTGGAAAGCATCTATACTGTGGTACGCACTTTTTTTACTTTGCATCGCGTGCACTGCACGAGAGAGCGGACCAGTGTCAGTCATCTACAGCAGCATCCTATCGCATTCATCTACCGATGCACTTACGGAGAGTGGGTTGAGACTAGGTTCGTATGACATGTTCGTCTCCGGAGTGTGTAGGGTTCAAAAGTCCGGACCGAGACAAGGTTTGATGGGAAATGAATGGAGTGCTAAGCCGGACTCATCCAAAGTCCATTTCCGGACGGGGCTTGGCAAAGTCGAGGTGGGGCTAAATAAGTTTATTACCCTATACACAGCACTGAAACTAGATAACTGCAAGTAATAATCAATAGAACTTTAACCAGTTAATCCAATATTGTTCACATATACTATCTTAAATATGCAATTTCAAAAGGATAGCCAGGATACAATATGTAGACATACAGGAGTGATTATTGTAAGTATAAGTAGCTAACGTCTTCTTATGGCTTGGGTATGGCGGGCATGACATTTTGGGAGTCTTAGCGGCATAGGGCAGACACTCTGTAAGTAGTAAAGAAAGGTAAGTCAACTCTTCACAAACTCATATCTGAGATAAAATACAGTAAAACAAATCTACACAAGTCCCCAAGAAATCTTGCGGTCTGCACAAAGTTTGGCTTTATGCAAGTTAGTAATATGAGGCTCTTGGTGTAGTAGCGCGAAAGGCTAAACCTTCCGGACCCTAGCCAAAAAGTCCGTCCGGGCCATTTCGCCAACTGGGCTCGATTGGACTTGGCCGGGCCTTGGCAAAGTCCGAACCCCGCGTCGAGACCCTGAACGAGATACACGAGAATCTCTTTTTTCGTATGATCCGGCAGGACATGAACTCGAATTCTCCGCTTTTATCATATCAAATGTCACACCGAGAGAAATTATCTTTCTAGTGTCAGTATGATTCATCGCCGCTTGAAAGATCTGCCCCTGGCCCACTTCACCGGCTCGTTATATCTGGTGTTGTCGACACCCTCGGACTCCTTCTTTCGATCACGACGGCCAGCCTCATCTTCATAGCCCCATTTCACCGCAACTCAGCTGAATACGCAGATCAACATGTCGGCACCCGAAAAACTGAAAGAAGATGACTTGGCAACCATTCCGATTGGTGACGCCAACGACCCAGGACCTGACAGCGACAGCGCAAAAAGTAACGGGAGCACTCTCCCTGAGTATCCAGCTGGCCTCCGCCTAAGCATCGTCGTCTTGGCACTGCTTCTGTGCATGTTCCTGCAGGCGCTCGATATGGTAAGCGTTGCTTCTACCCTGGTCAGGACTCGTGTTAACACTTGGCAAGACAATCGTTGCCACAGCTATTCCTAAGATCACTGACGAGTTTCCCGGTTTGGACCTCGTGTCTTGGTACGGCTCGGCATTCTTCATGTGCCTCGCCGCCTTCCAAACTACCTGTTAGTACCATCGTTTGCAATTGCCGCTCTGAATCTAATAGGGGATGCATCAAGGGGGCAAGATCTACAAGCACTTTCCACTCAAGTTGGCTTACCTGGCCTCCATCCTGATCTTCGAGATCGGTAGCCTGCTCTGCGGTTCGTCGTCCCATCTGTCCTCACTGAACTGGCCTTGTTACTGACCATCTCTTTTTACAACAGGCGCCGCGCCCAATGCTATCACCCTCATCCTCGGAAGAGCTATTGCTGGTATAGGCGCTGCTGGCATCGGTTCCGGTTCATACATCCTCGGCGCCTTTTCCGTCCCACCCGCCAAGCGACCATTACTTACAGCCACCCTCAGTATCTCATACGGTGTCGCGAGCGTCATAGGCCCCCTCGTCGGTGGTGTCTTTTCCGACAAGGTGTCCTGGCGCTGGTGCTTTTATATCAACCTCCCTGCCGGTGCCATCTCCGCGGCGATCATTATCTTCTTCTTCGACACGCCTGCCGCGGCAAAACCCACACCGGCGTCGTGGAGGGAGAAACTGCTACAGATGGACCTTTTCGGTGCTTTTCTCTTGATGGGCGCCGTTATTTCGTACATGCTTGCACTGCAGTACGGGGGACAGACCAGGCCCTGGAACTCATCACAGGTTATTGGACTACTTATAGGTTTTGTCGCCATCTCGGCCGTGTTCATGATCTGGGAGGTAGCCGCAGGAGAGCGGGCCGTTGTCGTTCCACGCATCATTCGTCAGCGGGTTATATACGTCAGCTCACTGTTTGCCTTCTTTTTTGTCGGCTCTTACTTTTTGATACTGTATTTCCTGCCGCTTTATTTCCAATCTGTGGGCAATGCTTCACCTACCGAGTCCGGAGTTCGCAACCTCCCGCTGGTTCTGGCCAACATTGTCACAAGCCTCGGGGCTGGAGTAGCCATTAGCATGACTGGGTACTACGTCCCGTTCTTGATCGTTTCGTCCGCCCTTGGAACCGTCACAGCGGGACTCCTTTATACGCTCTCTGCCGGGTCCACTTCTGGTGCTTGGATCGGATATCAGGTACTTGCTGGGATAGCATGGGGCCTGGGAGGACAAGTCCCCGTCATGGCGGTGCAGGCTAGTGTTGCCGCGTCAGACATCTCATCGGCCACTGCAATTGTTCTTCGTGAGTATCCTGTTTGTGTAGTCGCCACTCGAATCTTGTTCCTAACGCGAAACAGTTTTCCAAACCATTGGCGGCTCCTTTTTCCTTTCAGCAAGTCAGTCCGCTTTCGTGAACCGGCTTTTATCCTCACTGCCTCCCATTGAAGGCGTTGAGCCAGCTCGGGTCGTGGAGACGGGCGCGACGCAGATCCGCTCAACGTTTGCTCCTAATGTTGTGCCAGGTATAGTTTCGGCCTATATGGTGGGCATCAAAACCGCGTTTCTTATTGCAATCGCTGGAACCAGTGTGGCGTTCGTCTTTTCCTGGGGTAGCAAGTGGGTGAGGTTAAACAGGGAAAAGCAGAACGACACAGAGGAGGCCATGAGTGATGAGAAAGATCAGGCCTAAGTGAAGGCTGTTTAGGATTTAGCCACCTATCGTTAGGTTGGGTAGTTCAATAGCCATTATAGATATATGTAATAATTCTAGATTCATGCTATACTTTACGGGCCACGCCAGAAGTTACTTGCATGCATACATACAGATACCTAGACCACCGCATAGAATCTGAAAGCTGAAGAAATCTCGGGTACTCGCGTATGGTATCTTAAACGCAGTGCCCTCCTGGCTCCACAAAGTTCTAGTCACCCCTCCTGTAATCCAGTTGATAGATTTCCAGACTATGAATACGTCTGTTGATGTGATACCAGTTGTTCCAGACAGGTGATGCTTCCTTGGTGGCTCAAATATCGACTTTCTGTACCCCCAAGGACTGGGCCTCTATGCTTCCTGACCTGCCTACAGGTACGGAGCGAGCCCATGACCTGTCATCAGTACATCAAAGTAAATTAGGAGGCCGCTTTGTCCTCCTGTACCCTCTGTCGGCTGGCACTGCCACTGATGCGGACGGTTTACACCCGAAGTCCGCTCTCGCACGCACGGCCACCGGGCGCTGGACCGTCAACTGCCGCACCGCTAGATTCAAGTATTTCTAAATTGGGCGATGGTACAGTATGTCGCATCCGTTGTCACTATGACTCATATTGCATCAGTCGGCATTCAGTGTACCTTCTTCAGGGACGTGGTTGAGTTAGTGGAAAGAGGCCACTTCAATTGTATTCTGCTGTATTTAGGATCACACAGCCTCGAACCTCTGTGGTGACAAACATAAGTAGCGCTTCATTCTTATCTGTACCTGCCTAAAGCTTCTGACGTATTAGAGAACTCTGCCTTGTAAGTGCTGTTTCTTTTTTCCCGAAACCTGAAACCATGATGAACGATATTTTGCCGAACTGAGCTTTCTGCAACCTTGAAGACCTAATTTGAACCGACATCGTCTGAAATTCCAACTTTGGCTCCCACTATTCCTTATCGCTCTTCCCCGAGCAACTGCTGACCTAGTCTTTTACCGCTTGTTAGGAGCGACATCAACTTCATATTTAGGCCACCGATCTAGCAGGGTCGGAGAGAGGCAGTAGTCGGGAAAGGTCTAGCCTGGCACTCTTCGGAGACCTGGGGTTTTGAAGAGTCCTAGCTCTATAGTGTTTAGACTGTAATATTTAGTATTATAGATCTAAGCACTAAGAGGTGCAGCTCGAGAGATTGTAAAGGGTGTAGGTGATATCATAGGTCCTTGCTTACGTGGACTACGTCAGCAGGTCCCATATTTATTCGAGGATAAATGAACTTATCAAAGAGCCAATTACGTCTAAACCAACTTACGAGAGTATTCCCATAACTAAGAATAGAGATCTGCGTTTTCCTGCCTCGCCTTGCGTGCATACGTAAGTCGGTGAGGCGGGCTGGACCAAGATGGTGGGCAGGAATTGAAGATGAATGGTGGTTTGCACCTACGCTGGGGCCTTTGCAAACGCGCATTGCGAAAACCTGTTACTATGCGTATTTTCTCACTCCAAATTCAAATTGTGGCGGCAAACAATGCATTATATGCAGTTCGTCGTCGAATCATTTGGAAGAAGAATGACATCGATACCCTAAGTCGTTGGGCTAGACCTTCGATTGGGCCGCGATTGTGTTGCCTCATTGTGTGCGCTATGGTTCGCTCAAAGCGCGCCGACAGTGTTGCACACTCTATTTATGACAGAATTGGCATATTGTTCAATAATAGCGGCTCGTCTCATCAAGCTCTCTCTTTTGCTCTTCTGCACCCTGTACGTTCCTTGTACCCCAAACCTCGAAGTCGCACCATGTCAACGTCAATTCACGAAGCCGCTGGCTATAAGCCGGAGCCAGAGCTTGACGAAACCATGACTGACCTTGCATTTAGAATCATCTTCATCCATGGTCTGAGCTCGCCTTGCACTAATGATGCGGGAAGATATGACAAGAGTGAAGCAGTGGGACTAAAGCCAATTAAGTCGCCATTCGAGCTTCCGCAAACGACCGCATATACATTCTATCACGGTGACAATCTTTTGGACAACGTGAACAATATTCCCGAAGCAGCAAAGGCACTTTGTACTGCACTTGGTGATGAAGGCAATCGATCACCCTCCTTTCTTATTGTGGACGTCGCCCACGAATGATTGTGATAGCTAACAGTAAAGACAGGAACAGAGACCTCATATAACACGTCTAATAATCTGGTACCCAACTCCTATCTTGGGACTCTGACAATTAATTAATTTTTATAGAGTCGCAAGAGGACTATTATTGTTTGCCACGGTTCTGGAGGTTTTATTGCCAAAGAAGCACTTCTGAGATCGTTGGAAGGGTCTGACCACTACCAGGCATTTCATCCATTGATTCTAGGTATTATCTTCATCGGAACGCCTCATTCGACCACAGATGCAAGGCTACCATATCAACTGAACTTCATGCGACACTCCCAAACTCATTCTCCACAAGTCATCAACATGGAGACCGTTACTTCAGTTAAAAGCCTTCTTCAAACTTGCAACCGTATCCTGTGGTCTCGCCTTGGATTCATGCCTGTTTCGTTCTTCGAAGAGCTGAATTCACCTGGCACTCCAGAAATGTTTGGCCCTGTAAGTTTACTTTCGGCTGTGTAGTTTTCATACTTACTGGTTGCATTGAATCAGATTGTCAACTCCGAGGATGTCCGCATTGAGGGTCAGAGGCAGATTGGCCTTCACGCTGACCACTGGGTATGTATGCCAACTTCGTTTAGCTTCCATTGGTGGCTCACCTTCTTCTAGAACACTTGGAATTTCTCTGACCCACTTAGCTCTGCGTACAGAGCCGTATCTACTGTGATACATAGCTTTTGTCATGGTCCTCAAAACATGACATCCGAGGCCGCCTTCCAGCCAATGGACCCTGATATCTCTGGTTGGTTCTTATCTTTACTGAAAGGAGAACGGCTTAACTCATCATGCCTAGGACTTCTTCGATCTCTCCAAGTCAACAACACCGAATTCCTTTCATCAGCAATGAAAGGGACTTGTTCCTGGATTTTTGAGAACCATACCTTCGAATCTTGGCTTGAACAACCTTCAGGTCTTCTGTGGGTAAAGGGCAAACCAGGAAGTGGCAAGTCAACACTTTTACGATACATACATCAAACTCTGAAGTTCAGAAAACCGACATCCCTCCTCTTTTTTCAATTCAACTACTCTAGCCACACTTCTATAAACACCATGCTTCGTTCTCTGATTTTTCAGCTGCTTGTCGCAAGCCCCAGTTACCAACTCTTCAGTATGAGAGACACATACGCTACACGAACAGAAACACATGGGGACTATGGCACTAATTGGCAGTGGGGCGACAACGAGCTGCTTTCATATCTTCAGGATTCATTCTTACGAGCTACTCAAGATAACACGCATATTGTGGTCATTATCGATGCCGTAGATGAGGTTTCCGAGAAACTTTCATTCAACTCGGTTATTCTCGATATTCTTAGCATTCCCTCTATCCGGATATGTGCTTCATCTCGATTAAGTCCCAAGTTCCCTGGCCTCGACGCTCATACCATAACTCTGGAGGATCTCAACACTGCCGATATCATTCATTACGCCAAATCCAGAGTCTTGTCAGTCGAATGTAATATTTCTAGTGTACAGGGAGACTTGATACAGAGCTTGATTAAAGCGTCAGATGGTATGTTCTTATACATTGATCTAGTGCTTTCAAATCTCGAGATCTGGCTCGATCAGCAGGAAGGTCGACTCAGCTACAACGACTTCCCTAGAAGCCTTATGGATCTATATTCCTTAATCCTCGCCCACATTGAGTCCAGCAAGAAGAGTCGAGATTTCTTCCAGCATACCTCCAAGTGGGTCGCTTTTGCGACACGTCCTTTGACTGTTCCCGAGCTCACCAATGCTTTGGCATTTGAAAAGGTCCAAGGATATAAGCCTTGCACCCACATGCGCGAAACCCGCAGAGAAACACCAAGTGGCTATCGCCGGTCGCGCTGTGAATGCTCCCGTGACATCACTTCCCTATCCAGAGGGTTGATTGCGGTGCAATTCCCCCTTACTTCCCCAAGGCAACCTGTGGTCTGTTTCACTCACCAGAGCGTTTCTCAGTTCTTGATGTCGTACGAGCCATTCGCTTTAAAACCTTACAACTTCTCACCTGAAGGACACGAAGCTCTTGCATCGTCCTGCTGCAAGATTATTCTCTCCGAAACCCTTTCACGCCGAATAGGCTACACAAACTTGCACTCTGAGAACTGGGAACTCACATCCTATGCGCTAGAGAGCTGGATTCCACACCTCAGGAAGGCACTGCAGCTAGGTTCATCTTGCTCCGACCTCTTATCAGATCTCTCACAGAATGCCTTCTTGGAATCTTTTCTTGCTTTGAATGAGAGTATGGCGTTAAATTATAAAGAATTGCGGCGTTTGACACACAAGCATACCAGCGATAGGCCTTGGCAAGCAAAGCTATTGAATGGCTCGAGTCCACTACATTTGGTCTGCGTTGTAGGCCATGTTGACTCTTGTGAGCGATACATATCATTGGGCGAGAGCTATAACGACCGAGACTGCTTGTATGGTATAACGCCGCTTGGATGGGCTTCAGCATACGGCCATGTGGAAGTTGTTGATTTTCTACTCAGCCACGGGGCCACAGTTGACTACACTTCGAATGGCACCTCACCACTAGATCTAGCTATCCGTTGCGGTAATAAGAGGGTAGTGGAAAGGCTTCTCAGCAAAGGGTCAATTACGAAGCAGCTCCCTGTCGCCACACAGCCAGCTTTATCTTTAGCAGCATCTTTGGGTAGAGCTTCAATCGTCGACATCTTGGTTTCCTATGGAGCCAACGCTCTAACAGCTGACGAATTTGGTTGGAGTCCGCTTCAACATGCGATCGCAGCTGGCAAAAAGGCAACCCTCGCTCGGCTTCTCTCCACAATACCGAAGACATCCTTTGAGAGGCTCAGAGACCTCCCACCTCGCAGCCTTCCAGGCTGGGTACAACGCATCTTATTAGCATTCGGGCTTGGACTTTGTTGTCGTGGGTCTGGCAGTTGTTCATCTTCTACAAACACTGGCCCAATCGACTCCCGAAAATCAGGAAAACGGGGCCGCCAGGGTTCGAAGAAACGCGGTCGTGACACAACTGAGGACATGGACGAAAGTGATCAGCAGAGCATGGCGCCTCCGCCACAAAAGCAATCCCGGCATACTTTCGAACTACGGTTTGCATGCCCATACAACAAGAGATGCCCCAACCGGTTTGGAGGTGCTTGCTCCAATTTTGGATTCCCAGATATGCACCGTCTGAAGTAAGTAAAAGAATGAAAACATCACAACAGACACTGAGTTTTTTACTCACACTGTGATAGAGAACATCTATTTAGGCGACATTTCTTAGGATGCGACAACAAGACTCGATGTGGGAGGTGCAAGTCAATCCTTCCAGAGAGTGAAATTCAGGACCACCTTATTTTGACGGTGGCCTGTGAGCCCCTGAGAGTTGCTATGAACTATGAGGATGGTTTCGATACGAACCAAAGCGACACATTGAAATCTCTCAAGCCCAAGCAATTCGAGACGCCAGTCCACCACTGGGAGAAGACATTCAATACAGTATTCCCTGATTGGGTAACGGACTTGCCGAGCCCCTGTAAGTGGGTTCAGTAGACGTATGCTTTGATTCCCTCACTGACAAGACCAAGATCACGAGACGACCGAGACCGAGTGTCGTGTCAGGGTTGCTGCCAGGCTTCGTAGCGAAGAGTTTAGACAGGAGGTCTGGAGAAACCCTAGCAATATGGGGAGGGAGGTTTTCGAGCAGCTGGCTAACCTTCTTGATCCCTGGCCAAGAGCATCAACCAGGCCTGGCAACCAGACACCAACCCTTCCTGAAGAGCTACCTATACGACCAGGTGTAATACAGGAGCGCGCTTCAACAGAATTAAACCCTTCAATCGATGTTTCCTTGCCTATGGAGCCACAAAGGGGGACTACTTCTTCAGACGCCCTTGCATCAGAACCTGTGCTCAACTCATCAGCCCAGGTCTATCGTCCAATTCCACCGCACTTTTTATTTCCCCAACAGGTTTCTGATACTCTGTCCCTTTCCTTGTTCAGTGGGACTGGTTCACTCAACAGCTTTGGTCCCGGTCATGAATCGATGTACGGCGACACGGATGCTAATGATGCTTCTATGAGCTCGTGGGACTGCTCTTTCGCCAACGCCCAAATGGGACAAACTTCCAACGATCCTTTAGGGTTCACATTGAACGCCCCGACTTCAGCTAGCATTCCTAATTCCTCAAGATCAGAGAATCAGCTAAACCGCAACCCGGACATAGCCATTTCAGGCGACACACAGCCAGCAGAATATGAAGATGCCACTAATACGTTCTGGACTCCATCTAGAAAGGTTAATTAAAGATGCATTGAGAGCTTATTGCATGTATTTATTCTTCATGGGCAAAAAGGATTGCAGTGATTGCTAGACTACCAAGGTCATGTTTAATGTGTACTTTAATATAGCACAACGTGATATATAACCCAATCCGCAGAGATAAAATGGAAAACATCCTTTAGCTTTGGCAATTAATAGCAAGGCGATTTTGCTATTTTCACAGCAATATTGTACTTTTGCACTGAGCTAAGGCTTATGACGAAAGATCGCGTGTTTCCCCCTCATTCGTGCAAGCGACAGGGGGGTTGAAAACAAGGCTTCGCCCATCTGCCTGTCTAGCTTGCAGGGATATTCGATGGTCCATATGCCAACGATGATGTGAGGCGCAGTTCATTTCACCGGCAAGGCATTTTTCTATCATATTCTGCTTTCACAATTTCCACTCTTACCCCGTGTGTTGGAAGCCACATCTTCATTAATCTATCTCTGGTCACCTTTTTTTTTGCAAGACGTCCAGCACGAACCGCGAAATGGCTGAGCCAGTTGGCATTACCGGTACAGCTGTTGGGATACTTTCCTTTGGACTTCAGCTATATACCGGGATCTCAGAATATCTTGATGCTGTCAAAGGTCGCGACGAAGACCTCCAGTCCGCGAAGCAATATGCGACGATGCTGCGGGATAATCTTGTCTCGATCGAAGTGGCCATTAGCGCGATCGGCAGCGAATATACGGTGGCCCGATATGCTATCGAACGGTGCAAATCCTCCTGCGAAACAGAGCTTAAGGGTTTAGAGGTACTGCTTCTAGAATTGAAAGGTCCCATGGTAGAGCCCAACAGTCGCACGGAACAGGCCAAGAATTCTTTACGCAAATTCAGCTACCCTTTCAAGAAGAAGGACATTGCCAGGCTTCAGGATAGATTAAGCTTAACTAATAATGCCCTCCATACGGCCGCATTGGCCTTGCAGTTGTAAGTCAACGTCCTTTAGTAGCGACTTATAACTAAATTATCTCTTCACCTAGAGCCGTTTCCAACAATACCTTGACTACCGTTGTCAGTCTACAAAGAGCTGCTATTGCGATAAGCCAAGCAACTGAGGACACCGCGACGGGAATGGCGGAACAGGCTGTAGCCCTAAAGCAGGCGAACCAGACTCTGACACAGTCTCACCAAGAGCTTCAGCTTATCTCTCAACGCATGCCGCCAGCTCTTGATTCGAGAATTAATGAAATTCTGACCTATTTACGTGATGCAGAAAGCCCCCGCTCTCAACTTGTTCAGCTTCTTCAATATCCACAAGATCTACGGCGCTTATGTGATGCGGTTTCTAATTTACGCCAAAACTCAAAGACGGATCCTAGAGCGCCAGTGTCTCAGTCAACCGAAATTACAGGATGTGAGAAGTTGACGACTTATCGAACTTGCGACTGCGCAGCAAGACACAACGTTCGGCGCCAAGGACGGCATTTTGGGCTCTTTGTCTTCGAGTCGGAGATCCAGAAGACGACCTACCACGCACCAGAATGTGAGATGTCCGGAGTAATCCCGATAGCCACAGAAAACAAACGAACTTTCGGAGTCCATATACCAGCTATGTTCAAGCTTTTAGATCGCACTATTCGGCTCTCATTCTCCGTGAGAGCTGGCGCTGGTGGATACACCATATGTCAAAGCATAAACTACGCTGTGACCGTCGATGAAAGCTCATCCTTATCTTTCAGAATCGCAAACATGCTCATACGTCTAATGGACGAACGGACACCTGGACTAAGCAACGAAGACTTTTCCGTTGTTGCGGAATCATGCATAAGGCGGCTTACATTCTGTTATGGCAATAAACAGGCCTCTCCAAGAGATATAAACATGCATGGGGAGTCGATACTTGATCTTCTTGCTTGGCAGCTACACGTAGGTAATTTCGATCGTACCTAGCAGCGTACAGACTAATGATAAAGAATGCAGTTACTCGGCGAATTCACAATGCCGGCAAACGTTGTTTCTTATATCTTACGATCGTTAGCCACGACGAAGATTCCCATCACAAATGGCTCCAGAGTAAAGTACGTTTTCCCCGATCGTCCTTGAGGACTCCATCGTGGTATCCACAAGATTAACCAATGATATCACCAGAATACCCTTCTTTCTGAGACTTGCACACATCAACAGGATATTCGACTCTGACACGGCTCACCAAACCATCTCAACGCTACTAGCATGCTGTGATATACCGACAGGACAAGATTACCAAGTCACGTATCTCAGATATGCTGACGGGAAGCGGAAGGGACTTATTTTCGAGAACTTCCCAGATATTGCAGAGAGTAAGTTGTGATACAAAAGAGATTAAGGCAGGAGTTAGAGAATGTTTGCTTAAAGTCAGATAGATCTGGGATTTAATCCCCTCCACATCGCGACTCTCAAAAACGATGAAGAGAGTGTTCATCATCTCTTGGACAGACATCCGTCCTACCTGAATGATCTCAATTACTGTGGGCAGTCGCCGGTCCACATCGCTATTCAAAACAAAAACTTTCGCATCTCATCAGCGGTTATAGTAGCAGCTCATGCCGACATCCTTAACACTGCAGACAACGCACAGCAATACCCGATTGATATGGCGACCTCCATCACGTGCAGTCAACTTGAAAAATCGGAGGGAAGTCATCATCAGTCTTGCAATCAATCCAGGGTGATAGATCTTCTTCTCGAATCTAATTCACTGCTTCTACACAGCTTCATATGTACACATTTCGACCAGGCATGCCAGCATACGAAGATGGTTGTCCTGAGTCATCTCGCACAAAGAAGGAGAGACATGGAACTTCTCGCCATTTCGAGGCTTCCCGCTGCAGAAATACAAGACCTCGGCTTATCCAGAGGGCGAACATTGGACCGAAATACTGCCAGGGTACAGCATCATCTCGCAAGACGTTGTAACATACCACGTGAGCTGCTATTTTACCCAACTAATGATGTTTCTAAGTGGCTGGGCTGTTCAGAATCTATATATGCATGTATATATGATCGTGATGTTGCTGAACATGCAATTTCGTTGGGATTCGATTTCGGAACGGCTTTTACCGACCTTTTTGCCCAGGTGATACAGGATGTAGTTTCCGAGCGTCCTTCTGGGCATGGTGCTACCTATGGACACGCATCATTTCCAACCTATGTCTGCTGGATGATAGACCGTGGTGCAGATATTTTCGGGACTGTCCCAGCGGGCTTTGTGCCAGGAGCCGCCCAGAAGATAACATGGGCACATTACCTTATGGCTTCATTGGGGATCGCAATGGTACAGACTCCTCAATTAGCCAGAGAATTGCCACAGGGGATTGCAGAAGTCGTTGCTCGGCAGGGTGTCTTTGATGGATGTAAATGTTGGTGTTCTGAGCATGGCTGCACACCCTTGGTGAAATTCTTAGAAGGACTAGGCTGGCGCCAAATTCCTCAGGGATCCGAATTACTCGAATCCTACGCTTTAAGAACATCAGACACCCTTGGCAGCTTATTTCCAAGATGCAAAGATGACGGACTTGCTTGCGATCGGATATATCGTGCTGTCTTACAGTATATAACATTTTGCGCGCTGGGACTTCGCCATAGTTGTTGTAAGCTGGTCCATAAAAGCTCTTATAGTATTTCAGACGATGAAGAGATTCGCGAGATTCACGAGGAGGATGCAGCCTACATACAGATATTGGAGGAGCTTACGTCAGACTTCGAGACGGAATACGAAAACCGTACGGATCTGGCAACGTTTCTCACAATTATCTGGGTCCCAAAGATGAAAGACATTTGGTCAAAACTTAACTCAATAGAGCTCACAAGCGAGGAGATAAGAAGTGCAGAAACAGTCGGTGTGATTTGGGAGGTCTGTGAGAGCGAGGATACTTGGGGTTCGGAGGAAGGTGAGTATGTCAACCCAGAGAGCTGGGCGAGAGTAGAGGACTTGAGATCACAAATGGGACGGACTAGCGATGATAAGCCCTCTGCTGTGGAGGAGTGGATGAGGCGATTAGATGATATAGCTATAGATCCCCAACGGCCTGTCATTGCTATCTAGGGCGGGACAGTGGTGTATTATCTATAATTGCTAATTCGTGCTTTTTATCTTTTTTCTTTGACATTAAAGCTTCTTGAACCTCTCAAGCGTATGGAATTGTAATTGAATCGATGATCAGGTCTCTGGGATGTTCCTAAGCGTAGAGGCTGCAAAGGTGTGCCCCCTTGTGATAAGGCTCTACGGCATACAGATTTTCGAGATAGAATAGCAGAGGGCTTTCTCCCTACGGAGAGGACTGAATCTGACAAATGTGGCTCAGAGGAATTCGCAGAGACAAAAATCTATCTATGGGATTAGGCTTTTGGAGGCTTGATTGAGGGATTGCGATACAGCCCAGGGTTGGTGTCTTGATGGCGATATTAAACCAGGCAAAGGAAGGTGCTAAGATTACGGCTTCCTAGAGGAATACAGATTATTAGTAATTCAAAACCTGATTTTATAGATAGTGTTAATTTTAGATTTCTTTTTTTTTTACCCTTTGCTAATAAAATATTAGAACTTGTTTTCAAAAGCACTTATTTATTATACCATTAAGGATACTGATTATATAGCTACCTATCGTTTTTTTAATCTTAAAGACTCTTAAAGTATATTAACTCTAATATTATTCATTTATATCTCATAATCCCAAACACTTCCTTGGCATTGCATTTCTTAATTAGCCTACTAATGTAGGCTATATGTTATTCATCAATAGGCTGTAACCCAGAGTCTTTTAACAGCTTGTTCTGTTTGCAGAAGGCAGACACTGTTCCGGGCAACAACACTATATAGCATACAGTGTACAGTTTCAACATAGGTCACCATCCTTTGACCCTCGCACAAGGCCTGGGACTGGATTAACATGTACGATATCGTTCTCCATGTTGATATCCCATGTCTCTGGAAATCAGAAGCAAGTAATTGCTCGCTACTGCTCTAGCGATATGAATCCCTGAGAAACTTGAGGTTTATTGCATAGAGAATCCCTGTTTAACCTACTTGCGGGAACTGCTGATTCGTGGTTGTGAATATGACGGAACAACAACTTCGTTATACCCCGCAACGGCGCAGTCCCAGGCAATTGTCAATTCTGACGTCATGTCAGCAAGCACCCGGTGAGTTTGAATACTAATCTCCGATGTTTGTAAAGTGTACAATTGGCGAGCTGGCTAGTGCGGTGTGATTGGCTTTGTTGGTCTGCATATTGACGCCACGGAAACCGTGCCAATTGGAGACCTTAGCGCCCACTGTTCCAGTGGTTGGCTAAAATACTTATGTAAACATACTTGCAGCACTATACCAGGTCACGCACACACTCAAATTATCAGATCTAATCAACTAATGAAACGCTAAGTTTCACTACATGAGTCTAGTCAGAGATTCATTTGATTTCATTTGGTCAGCTATTTCAACTAAATACATATATTTGGTAACGCGCATACGGAACAAACATTCCGGAAGCCGGCCGCGAGACGGAAGCTGCTGTCTTTACCGCTTTTGGCCATTCTAAAGATTAGCGCCGCGAGTCAAGGGATGAGATTCAGTATGAGCCGGGCAACAGGGGAGATAATCAAACAGCCACTTTTTGGTATCCGGAGTCGAATTTCTGCTTTCGGTTTAGACTCACCAGCAAAAAGAAATTTTAGTGTAAATTATTCCTTCTAAGCAGCGATGGGCAAATCAGAAGCCGAGATTCAACCCGACACCCCTGCCCATCAATGTAGCCTCATTCTCAGTGTGCAAACGACATATAACAGACTCAAGAGACTGGTTTATTGTCTCTTTTCCACCAGCACACCTGGTGGCATTGTCATCTACACTCTTCGGTCGAACGATACTATAGTTTTCCGCCCCGCCCCGCCCCCCCAGCACCATGGCCTCGTCAAGATTGACCTGGGTTTATAGACGACAAAACCGAGCCAAAGACGTGCCGAAAGATGTTCTCAATGAGTACAAAAACATCATCCGACATCTATATTTGGATCAAAACATGACTCGCCTAGGGGTAATTAGTCATCTCAAGGATAGCCATGGATTTAACTTGACGTAAGTAAATTCCATTCTTTCATACCATCATGGCTGCTGACCAGAGATCACATAGTACCAGCCAGTTTGCAAAAGCAACAAAGCAATGGGGATTTTATAAGCAACCTCGCCAGGCCCGGACATTAGTCCGGGCTCTTGAAGCAACTGCTTTTCCGGAGCCTGAGCCATTGGGCGCGATATTCGATATCGAGGTTGATGCTCTCGGCGTAGATGATGAGGACGAATCTCTTTTCCACGTTGACAGGACACTTGATATTCCCAAGAACGCCAAGGATGATGAGAATTTATATAAGGAGCCATCTCAAAAAGCTGGAGATACTTCTCTGGAGGCCCAGAAGAGCCACCGGGGAACCAGAGTATCAAGCAACCGATGCCACGTAGCGGATGTCAAGGGTCCAACACGTATTGCAAACGCACCCAAAGCTCAGATTCAATCGACTTTGAGGTTTTCGCCCCCGGGGGTCCTGGAACGAATTCAAAAAGCGGTTTTGATTTGTGGTACAGCGCCAGAGTTGTACTTACATTATTTGGCGTGCTGCTACCTCTTCCAAGATTCTTTTAAGTGTATTACGGCAAATATCCGCTATAGTGGCAAGATTATCTCCGATGAGAATCTTATACGCCAGTTCTTGGATCTTATGAGGATTGCCAAATCAGCGAGCATGGGTCAATTTGTTATCAGCCTGCTTCAAGACTTCCATCTCCTCGAAGCTGCAGAAGGGGACGCAGATCAGACATCAGTCTTGCCGTATACCACTGCGCAAGATCGAATGCTTTTTCACGCCTACTTGTCTGCCATCTATTCAGTTATCCAAGGTCAAGAGAGCCAGGCTCGAAGGCACCTTGGCCGATTCCGCCAGATCGGGGATGAACTCGTCGCAAGTCCGAATTGTTCCCTCAATATGTGGTCTATTCTTCTTATACAAGGGGACTCCAACCATGAAAATACCCCGGACGATTTGATTGAGAGACTCGACATTGATGACGGAGAGTTTCTATATCTCTTTCGGTTGTGCCTGAGCTTATGCAAGGAATGGCTTGAGGTGGTCGAAAAAGGGTTCTCAAGTCATGCTCTTGTACAGTTCGACAGTTTATTCCTACATACAGATGGTGCGGCAACCTCACAGGATATCTCTAGATTGATGCAAAAGCAGAGTTGCCTTGATACGTGGCAAGAGGCGGGATTCCTTTTTGCTTTCGTTTGGGGCAATGCGCAGCAAAGAACATCAATCTCATCATCGTGGTGGAAACAAGTCGAAATATCAGGTATATCGCCTTCGCATTTCCTGGCTGTTACATGCCGGATGATTGTCCATCAAACGACCATCTCTCCAGACTTGGGAAAGGGAATCCTATGGGAACATGTCACAGAGGATTTCATTAGCCTGCTCTATCTCGAGGAAATCGACAATTTCATAACGAAAACGTTATCACCGCAGACTATTAAGAGAGACTTTCTACAACACTTCATCAAACATCACACATGGTCCGAACTAGAACCAGAAGATAACGGATCCATTAAACGTGTCCAAAACTACCAGCAAAGAGTTCTAGATAACGTGATTCGACATAGGACTGATAGTGCAGAACATCACTCCTCTATTCAGGAGACTCCGCCCCAGGCCACGAATCTCCAATCAGATATCCCAATGGCCCCATCCTTTAGTCTGGGTTCTAACAAGTCCAACAATTCGTCTTCGCGCTCCACAAGCTCGTCACACGGTCGCCAAAGATACCTCAGCTCACTCAGCAACAATCCTACAATGACTCGGTCACCAGCGTCAGGATCCTCTCGAGGATCCTCCATGAATTCATTTCGGAGATTTCAAGGGGCGAGCGCAGCTATCGCAATACGTCTAAAAGACTATCAGGGTTTGCACATGCAAAGTTTAGATGAACAAGGCAGCAATGCTTAGTCAGAGACTCGGTGGCTTATTTGTACTAGAATTTCTTTCCATGAAGCCATTGGCTTGATCTAATACACTTGTTTAAGGTTACAGCTTTGAAGGGGATAGTGATTTCATTGGCGCTACTTCTAAAACTCTGGACGCTTCTGTCGGGTTATCTAAAAGGTGCGAATTCTTGCCCTGATCACCAAGGACTTAACCCTGTTCATAACTAGAAGGACGAAGGTAGTCATGACTACTAGTAACAAGAGCTTGTCTCTTGTGTTATTTAGAGTCTCATACTGACTCTAACAAGTATCAATACGTTTGTACTATTGTAAGAATAGGCATATCAAGGTCATTTAAGACCTTAAAGAAAGGGATTATATTATGTTAAATCCAAAGTGATATTGGCTAGCCTTATTTTCAAGGTTATCTGATAATACCTGTTATTGGCTGCTCTCTCAATGGCGCTCCAAAAGTGCGCCTGTTTTCTGTTAAATCCTTGTGCTAGGGAGGCCAACCAATAGAACTCACGCCAGGAATCTCACCGCTCATCCCCCGCTCCCGCAAAATACGCCAATTCCCTCTATATCAGGAACAAGACTAGACCAGACATCTAATCATGAACGGGCAACCTTCAATTCGGCCAGAACAAGGATCCTATGTTCAGTTCCAGGTTGCAACGAGCCAACCTATAACCTCCTACAACCGAAAAAAAGACGTTTTGGCAAAGCTTCGCGACTCAATTCCCCAGAACGAGACTCAGTGGCAACAGGCCCGTGAGTTCCACGGCTATAGCACAGCAGAGAGCGTACTGCAGAAGACCAGAACGTACTGGAAAACAGAATCTCAAAGGCAGATCTGCGGAACTTCTTATCAATCGCATCTTGTTGTGTTGATTGGCATCTGGGGAGCAAACAAGAGGCTTACCAAAACTTCAAGATAAGGATCAGCCCTGCAACCGAATTGACGATACAGAGGGATATGTCTTACTTGCGTGCCATGCTGCAAGCCATGGAGCGAGTGTACCTCCGAGGACCATGCCATCGCGTCTTTGAAGGGGTTCTTCTGTATTGTATATGTCGCATTGACTGTCTTGGTTCAACTCTCTTACTTGCATAGCACGTATTGCGCCGTCATTTCTTGCACATTACACCAAAGAGACAGGAGAGTTCGACTCCTGTTTCCCGACTTTTAGTTGCATACATCACGAAATACAGGCGTCACCGCCCCTCGTACCCGCATTTATTCTCAAGTATCGAGATCCCCATCACTGGTGAGATGTCACAGTGACGAGATGTTCAATCACGCATTGACTGATTGAAAATAGCTTCGGGGACATATGTACGGCTCGGGGTACAGAGTCCCTTAATGAGGATCATTACGCTGAGTTCATCTCTGTTCTTGACAATGGAAGGCCGATACCAAGAGTGCTGTCGCTGCCGGCCAAATCCCCTTATACTGCTCTTTTTTTTATCAGATGTCAGCACGAGTTAGCCAGAGATGTCGAGAAGGTTGCTGTTAACACCGTCAATGATGTATACATTTTCGCACTGCCAACGAGTTTCCCCTTGGTCTGCAAGGTATTCAGTGTCTCAAACGTCATTCAGCAACTATTACATGAAGTAACTCACCAGATCGCCGATGAAAGTCTACAAGAAGTGCCAAATACGCCTCTGCGTGAGTTTCAGTGGATGAATGAGTATCATATCATAGTCGATGGAGTAGTTGTTAACTTAGTAGGTTAAACATTCTGAATTTACCATCATATACTGATTTGTTACCGATCAGATTCAACAAAGCATCCTGCCACAACAGCCTTTTCAAAGGTACAAGTCATTCTATCTACATGAGCCCGGATCAATTTCGGTTCCTCCTGGTTGGATTAAGATTATTGTGCCCTTCACCTTGGATCATCAGGTCTGTCAGGTTTCGATAACTTATTGCGAAGCAAGACATCACATGGACCAACAAGGTTGGTTTGATTCTTGGCAGTGACATCTTATTGTCTACATCTCACCAAATCGTATATTATTCCGTGTCTATTCCTCTTGGAGCACATAGTTAGTAAAGTCAATCTATTGCTTATTGAACGTCACTATTAAGTAACGCCTTATAAGAGCCTTGCTGGGTTCTATCAAGCAGTTTCGGCGCCTCTGCTGACTTTAACCCTGAGTATCTTTTTCAATTAACAAACCAAGTACAACACAGGGATATATATAGCTACTCGATTCTTCAGTTTCTAATGTTCCTAGATACAAAGTCATTTATGATCCCTGAAACCTTTTCTGGTGCCTCGAGGGGGGCCAGATGTCCAACTTCTTCCAGCACAAGAAACTCGGCGACGGAAATGTTACCAGAGACCTCGGCCTTGATGCGGTCCACAGTTTCAACTTGATCTTTGCCTCCAGCAATAATAATCGATGGAATGGAGATACTCTTGGCTAGCTCTATGATATCTTCATTCATAGCATATCGTGGCCATGCTGCTTTGGCAGATGGATTGCCCTTCAACATATCCTCCACAATTCCCTTGATCGTACCACCAGGTAAGTACTTTGCGGTTAGGACGTTCCGGGCTACAAATTCAGCGTTCTGTGCACTATCGTAGGCGCTGATTTGCTGGTCACGCATATCCTCGGGGAGCATCAAAGGCGTCGGTGGCGCTGGACAGAGTAGGACTAAACCCGCAAGCCCGTCCATCAGATTTCGTCCAGCAATGGCTTGAGCGACCTTGGCCCCCATTGAATGGCCAACGATGATATATTTCCGTAGGTCCAGTCGTTTGATGGTAAGTTCAACGTCTTGGGCGAGTTGGAGGATGGAGTATTCAGTCTCGTCTGAGGGACCAGTAGAGCTACCCCATCCGCGAAAGTCAATTCTAACAGTTGAGAAAGACAATGCGATCAAGTCATTTACGGGTGACCAAGTCTTGGAGGATCCTCCCCAGAAATGGAGAAAGATAATAGTTGGATAGTCTTGGTGTTGCCGTGAAGGAAACGACTGCTCAAGATGAAGGTGAACATTGTCTTGGAGCGGGATACGCTTGGTGCTGGATGTGAACGACATGTTTGCTCAAAGGCTCTTGAAGGTGACTTTAGGTCTAAAGTAGAAAAAAAAAGCTTTGTTGACACGGTTATAACAGAAGGTGTTGTGATCATTTAAATAGTCGGGTTTTGTTGAATGAAGTCATATTAAGTCCGAGATGGCTCGGATACACGACAGTGAATTAGTCAGTAAGGATATTTCCGTGAGCCTACGGCAATTCCAAACTGCAGATAACGTGTGTATTACAATTTCGTGTAGATAGGAAGAGATGCTTAAATTACCCCCATTTCAGTCTTACAAACCTATCAATTCATCCTAATGAGCACTGTTTAGGGTAGAAGTGAGGATGCGATCGACCGACCGATAAGATAACAATGACCGATAACGATAAGCAAGGTTCACGCGTCAACACGCTCCCTTAAACCAAGTCACGCAACTCCAATACCAGCCATTGACTCACATACACCACAATTGGCTGTTCCGTCGGCCCATTTCACGCCAAGTCACGAGTTAACGCGCTCGACTCGTGGCCCCATCGTTCGACTGAGCATCCTCATCAACGCGTGAGGACCGTGTTTCAGCAAAATGGCCAGAGCTTCTAGGGCAAAAAGTGTGACCACTCTGAGTTCTTTCGTCAAAATCACACCAGTGTTCGGTGAATACACGGTGGTAAAGACGCGATGCAGCAACGCGTTAAATGTAAACATTGTAGAATATTAAATACATGATGGAACCGCGAGACAAGTTCATAGGTCGATCTTGCATTTCGCGTCAAGATCGCAGATAATTTTATGCACTTTAAACTGCACTGCTAATTGCTCAATTACTGCCCCAGACTTCAACCATGTCCTCCAACATTGGCCTCGTCGATGAGTACCTCGCCAAAGGAACATGGAAGACCGCTGAGAACGCCAACTCAACCTACTCCCACCAAGGACTCATGCAATACGTCTCCAATCAGATCATTTCTCAATACTGGCTCGAGAAGATCTACACTGAAGAGATCCGAAAATATGACCACGAGAATCGCTTCCATATTCACGACCTCGGCTTTCTAAGCGCGTATTGCTCTGGTTGGAGCATCGAGGATATCCTTCTGCAAGGCTTTGGCGGCGTTGAGAATAAGATTCAATGCCGACCTGCGAAGCACCTCAACACCGCGCTCAACCAGATTGTCAATTTTCTTTTTACGCTACAAGGTGAACTTGCTGGTGCTCAGGCTTTGTCTAGCTTTGACACTTATCTCGCACCCTTCATCCGCAGCGATGCCCTGTCTTACACCGATGTCTTCAAATACGTGCAAAGCTTCGTTTACTCCCTCAATGTCCCGACCCGAAGCGGTTTCCAAGCCCCGTTCACGAACCTTTCACTCGACCTCATTTGCCCAAAACGACTCGGCGATCAATGCGTTATCATTGGCGGCGAACTTCGGACCGATTGGGTGTACAGTGACTTTCAGGAAGAGATGGATATACTCAACAAGGCATTTGCTGAAGTTATGATGCAAGGAGATGGAAACGGCAATATCTTTTCCTTCCCCATCCCGACCTATAATGTATCGGATGGGATTGATTGGGAATCGCCTCGGTGGCAAAGCATCTGGGAGATGACGGCCAAGTATGGTGTTCCGTACTTTGCGAACTTCATCAACAGCGATCTCGATCCTGAGGACTTTCGGTCCATGTGTTGTCGATTGAGACTTGACCTCAGTAAACTTCACTGCAGAGTTGGAGGTCAGTATGGGGCAAGTCCGCTAACTGGCTCTGTTGGAGTTGTCACGATCAACCTGCCCAACCTGGCATACCGATCCAACGGTTCGAAGGAGACGTTCATGGACGAGTTGGCAAGCACGTTAAGAGTGGCCAAGGACTCTTTGGAGATCAAGCGAAAGCTGGTGGACGAGAATTCGACGCTATATCCCTACGCCGCTCACTACCTGTCAGCTACCAAGCATCGCACTGGGTCATACTGGACGAATCACTTCAGCACAATCGGTGTGAATGGAATGAACGAGGCACTGATGGATCTTCTCGGCGAAGGTATTGGTGAGCGAAAAGACTTTGCTCTTGAAGTTCTGGAATTCATAAAGGACCAGCTTCAAGAGTTCCAAAAGGAAACAGGTAACCTCTACAACCTTGAAGCTAGTCCAGCCGAGAGCACATGCTACAAGTTTGCCAAACGCGACAAGGAACTGTTCCCTGATAAGGAGATTCCTACGTACTACACCAACTCCACGATGCTACCTGTCGATACAACTGAAGATCTCTTCGAAGCTATGGGCCATCAGGAGGCCCTTCAGTGTTCTTACACTGGTGGAACTGTCTTTCATGCTTTCCTCGGTGAACAGCTGCCGAGTTGGAAGTTGGCTAGAGACCTAATCAAGACTCTCACCGCACGCTTTCGCATCCCATACATCACACTCACTCCAACGTTCAGTATCTGTCCGACACACGGATACAGAGCAGGTGAGCAGCCAGAGTGCACAGCATGCGGAGAACTAACGCTCGTTTACTCACGCATCGTCGGGTACTTCCGGCCCACGAGGGACTGGAACCGTGGCAAGTCGAAGGAGTTTGTGCAGCGGAAGGTGTACAAGTATGAGACTGGCCTGGAACGTCTGAGTAATGACAACAAGCTTCAAGAGCTGGAGAAGCAAGTCGCAGCGATCAAAGATCTCCCTGTGGCTGGCTACATCAAGAGTACTTTGAGTGACTACCCAGGCAAGATGCAAGCTTCCATCATGTTTACATCACGTTGCAACCTCGCTTGTCCTTGGTGTCACAACGGCCCGTTAGTCCAAGGAGAGTGTGACGAGGTTACCATTGTAGACGTTTTCCGTCATATTACGACAACGTCTCACAAGTCACTCGTTGTTTCAGGCGGTGAACCCACCATCCACAAAGGGCTCCTTCCCTTCCTGAGGATCCTCAAGGCCGCTGGGATTAGCGTGAAACTCGACTCAAACGGCACATCCCCTGAGGTTCTCAAACAAGTCTTTTCCGAGAATCTCGTCGACTTTGTTGCGATGGACATCAAGTGTGCTTTGGAGAACTACAAGCGTGTCACAGGCAAAAAGGTTAAGCCGAAGCTCCTCGAAGCTAGCATTGATATTATCAAGAGTAGTGGAGTACCCTATGAGTTTCGCACGACAGTTGTACCGGAATTAGTTGATGTTGAGGACTTGTTTGAGGCGAAGAGGTTGTCAGGGAAGAAGCTGACGATGCAGAAGTTTAGGAATGGTGAGACGTTGTTAGATGAGAAGTTTAGGACGTTTCAGGAGCATACGGATGAGGAGTTCGACAAGTTGGTGAGTCAGGTTGCGTAATACGGAATGTCTTTCTTTCACTGTTAGGTCACGGTCTTGTATGAATAAAAATGCCAATTAATGATAGAGGTGTGAACTCAGTAAGTTTTTCATGCGTTCGGTGTTGCTCACCAGACAGATTCGGCTCTATTGCAACATTTATCGCATGGTATCAAAGGGAGCGCCGAGTGCAATCAGAGACCCCGAGAAGTATCTGGTGAAATTTTCGGACTAGAATCCAATAAATGCATTCTTCCCTCCACTGAGAGGTAAACTGATCAACCCAGCCTTCTTCCGAAACATGTCCATCCACTGTGGATTATCCGCCCAGGTCGAATCCCAAGAATTATCAGGGCCGTATATAATCTCGCTCATCTTTCGTTGTATCTGACGGCACATGGCCTTTCGAGATCTCGGTAGACACATATTGCAACAAGAGCCTCTGTACCTCCTGGTGAGAGTGTGGAACCTCTGATTCTCTCGAGCTCGCGTCATTGGTGCTGAACGGGCTGAAAGGGTACGTGTCAATGCGATGATCTACCCGTGAAGCAGAAAATGGCTCCATAGTTCGCCGCTGATCACCTATCAAGAACGCAGGCATGTCATTCTCCACGAGCTCCTCAATACTCGTATCAAAACCACGATCACCTTTCCAATCTCTCATATCTGTACCTGACCGAAAGTGCAAAGCAAGATGCCTCTGCCTTTCAGTCCAAGTGTCCAGTTGAGCATCACAAAATCCACATCTTGATCTTACATCATCTATCGACGAAAGCCAGCTCTTCATGGAGTCATTGAAGTTGCAGCCTTGATGGAAGAGACGTAAGTGCTGTCTCAGGTGATCCTTGCGGTGGAAAAGTCGTGCGGATTCTGGTTGCGCAGCACAGGCTGAATAGTTGTGAGTCTCTGGGTGATCTGTCGAGGGATTGAGACATTTGCAGAAGATGCAGTACGAATTTCCATCTGTCTGTTGTATTATCGGTCCATATCTTGAGCACCTAAATACAAGTCAGTTATTATAAAAGACAAACGGCTTGACTTATACTCACTTCCATTGCTCAAGAGTCAAGTGCATTGTTGTCTCATGCCTTTGCCAGTCATGTTTTGTTTTAAAGGCATCCGTGCAAAACGTGCACTGATACCTTCGTTTAGTCGTCTCCCTCTCTCGAGTGGTGTTGATGTCCCGTCGCGTCTGTCTCCTTCTTCGTCTCAACCGAAAAGCCGACGCGATTGGTGAAGTCAGGGAATCTACAGATCCCACGGATGAATCTGATGGGGCGCCATAGTATCCGCTGGACGATAAACCTGAGACATCTTCAGCCAAAGTATCGCTAGATGCGAGTCCCCCTGAAGTTGTGCAATCTATGGATTCCAATGTTTCGGTTGATAAGTGCTGTAACCCTGTCCGGGATGGGCCGCCGTCCGTAACGTCGGCTTCTGTGTTCACCGTCCCGCTATCGAGCCCGGGATTACTGTCCAGAACATCGTCATGGTGGTGAAGCCATGAGAGCCAGTCGTCTTCGTCAGGTAACGTACCGCCTCGTGGAGAACCTGGTGCACTCATGTCCAATTCAATTCGTACAACGGGGGTTCGAGGCGTGAAGAGGGGATCGGCATATCGGAGGTGGCAACCGACCTTATCGCTGGCGTTGTCACAGGGCGCAAAATTAGCTTGCGCCCTTCATGATGACCCACTTCTGCAGGTGAAAGGAGCTACTGGACACGAAAGTGTTGGCTATGTCAACTCCGTAATAAGGTGCATTGCATTCACTATTTATTGCACAAGTCATAGGGGACAGAAAATTAGTAGTTCCTTGCATCTTATCTATCCCTATCATTTTGCCATGTCTGCACATGCTTCTACTCGTCCCAACGGCACAAATGGCTCTACAGCCTCCGTGAAGGGACAGCTCGATGCATCTAAGCTCAAGTTCGACTTGACAACCGCACTAAAAGATGTCCCCAAGCCCGGATCAGCTGAGCTGTGGGAACAGAATGTCGCTACAGATCACATGGTTACCTGTCGCTGGACCGTACAGAACGGCTGGGAAGATCCAGTTATCAAGGCCTTCGGCGACTTGACTATTTCGCCTCTTGCATCTTGCCTTCATTATGCCACACAGTGTTTCGAGGGCATGAAAGTTTATCGCGGCCATGATAATCGCGTCAGGCTCTTTAGACCGGATCGGAATGCAAAGCGCTTGGTCATGAGCGCCGAGAGAGTTTCTCTCCCGGGTTTTGATCCTGAGCAGCTGGTCGAGTTAATCAAAGCCTTGGTTCGTGTTGATGCGAAAAGTAAGTACTCCCATCTGCAAACCATTCACTGCTCACAACGTGATAGAATGGCTGCCAGAACCAGGTAGCTTTCGGTACATCAGACCAGCATTGATCGGAACCGGCCGCCAACTGGGTATCCAGATCCCCAAGGAAGCCATTTTGATGGTCACGCTGGTGTGCTGGCCCGATTTCTCCACCGAGGTTCCTCCAGGTCTAGAGCCAAGATCGGATCTACGTCTCATCACATCGAGGAATGACACAATCAGAGCGTGGCCCGGTGGTTTTGGTTACGCCAAGGTTGGTGCGAATTACGGCCCTAGCTTTGCATCTCATTGCGAAGCGCAACAGGCTGGCTATGACCAGGTCTTGTGGTTATTAGGCGAGGAAGGACAAGTCACCGAGGCTGGGGCCAGTAATTTCTTTGCTGTCGTCCGAGACGAAAAGACCTCTAAGCCGGTGCTACTCACAGCGCCGTTGACGGATCGAGTCATTCTCGATGGTGTTACAAGAAGGTCTGTTCTGGATTTGGTTGAAAGTCGACTTTCCGAGGAGCTCGAGGTCAGAGAAGCGAAATTTACAATCAAAGATATTGAGAAGGCATGGAGAAATGGCCTCCTTCAGGAGGCTTTTGTGTCTGGCACTGCTGTGAGTAATCCCCATCGCCCGGCGAGGTAGTTGACTCATCCATTTTAGTTTTTCATCAAGAACGTATCGACCATTCGGGTTGGTGATTTTAACATCGACTTGCCACAAAAGCAAGACGATGGGAGTGCATTTGGCCCTCGGATAAAGAGCTGGTTGAAGGATATTATGTTCGGAGCTGAAGATCATGAATGGGGTATTATTGTCGACTAAGAGAACGCAGAATAGATGTTGCCGTATCATTTAGATCAATTGTATAAAAAATTGCAAAGTGTTTGTGCTGTTGTTTGTTATACTACCGACAGATTTAATATTTGGCAGCCAGTAGGGGGACTATCGCGGTTACGCAAAATCCCTCGTGCGACCCAGACGATGTGGGGCTTGGAAGGCCTCAAACCCTTCAAGTCTCCCGTTGCTCCTCTTTCTCGTGCATCTCATGTCGAAGTCAAACAACGAATCCCATCTCCAAATGGCCAAGCATGCTCCAGTGACTCTAGGTGTCCTGGGTCGATATTATTCGGCCCGGCATACTTTGGGGCAGTATCGCTCAGCTTGTGTAACAGCAACGTACAGTATATCGTTCCCGGATGACTCATTGTTGAACAAACTTGATAATGCACTCGAACATGCTCTACAAGCCACTATTCGAGAGCATGCCGGTCTACGGTATGGCATTTGCGACGAGCAGGTAGATGGTATTCCGCTGTTCAGGCAGATCCGCACGTTCGACTCCCAGGACGTGATGAAAGTCGCCACAAGCCGACCTCGTGCTGGGGAAGGCGAGAGCATGTCGGATGAGCTCCTATCCAGAGACCTCGAAAGCCGTCATTCGGAGCTTTGGCCTGAGAACAAGCCAGCTTGGAGGGTTGTTGTCCTCAAGCATACGAACAACTGCAAGTCAGACCGCTCTCTCACAATGCACATTGCCTTCTTTGCACATCACGCTATTGCAGATGGATTAAGCGGCGTTGCTTTCCATGCATCATTGATGAACAATCTTAAACTCGACACACCCGTTTCTGCGAAATGGCCCCTGGAGTTGAACGAGATACAAGACCCTCCGCCTACAATCGAAGAAAGCGTGGATTGTCTATCATGTAACTGCACTGTCTGCACAACTCCTGACAAATCTGACCATCCAGTTTGGGCAGGAGGTCCTATTTCTACGGCACCGACGGAAAACTACGAGTCCCGTGTTAGAATAGTGACAGTCCCCGCGGCGCCATTTTCCGACTTGCTGAGAAAGTGCAAGCAGGCCAACGTCACAGTCACCGGTCTCCTCCACGCAATCATATGCACTTCACTAAGAAGTTCTATCAAGGAAGATGTCTCTGGCTTCTTATCTGTTACGCCCTTTTCAGCACGACGATATACTGGAGCATCTGACGCAGAAATCGTCAACCATATCTCTTATCTGACGAGCTATATATCCCAAGAAGAGCTACAGAGGTTTCAAAACTCCGCCCGCGGTTCTGCCGCTGAAGAGCAGCATATTATAGACCTTGCACGCCGGTTTAGCAATGAAGTAGCGACAAAGGTTAAAGAGTTCCCGCACGGCAGTATGGCTACGAAACTCAGTCAAGTTCAAAATATCCCACAAGAATGCCAAAGCCAAAGCGGTACAGAAAGACGGTACACATATGAGCTTTCGAATCTGGGCTTAGTTTCAAGCATTTGTCCGCCAGAAGGGAGCGGTATCAAGCTTGACAGATTGGTCTTCACACAATGCGGGTTTGTTGCTGGTCCCGCGTTGGGATTCAACTGTGTTAGCACTAGGGGAGGAAATTTCACTATCAGCATTACTTGGCAAAGAGGGATTGTCGCGGAATCTGTCGTGGAAGACGTTGCTCAAGAGCTAGAAACACGACTTGGGGCTTTTCAATAATCCTACGGAATTTTTTACTCTTTCTTTGTTTTATCCCCAGCTGCTCCGCTTGTGTAATCTGATCTCTCAATGCAACTTAAATGGCGAAGCTGATGATATGCACCCCTAAACTGAATGCATTTATTCGTATTACCATGCAAGCCCAGTGTGTCTCGCTGCCTTCGGGAAGCTAGTGTCGTTGTGGGGCATATATCGTAGACCTACAGCTGCAGGTGGAGAGGCTCTGAAGGGCGTATTTTCAGGCGTAATTTCACCGCCTCACGCCAAGTCTTGGTGCAAAGCCGTTCGGTTGAGGGCGTGAGCCTGGGCGCACCATGGTCTCGTCGATGTTCGCAGGAGACAAGGTGCATGGTTTGAGGCGCAGGGCGCTGCAGTTTGTAGATAAGAGCGAATTGTGCAAATCCTGCATCGTGGCTCAGATTACAACAGAATGGCACCTGAAACGAAATCGGAACCGTTGAGGGAATGGATTGTCCTCATTCCCGACGTCGAAGGGTCGTTAGAGACACGTATGAGAGTGAGAGAGTAAGTAGCCCTATTATGCTTTAGTACCTTCTGCTTAAAGATATCAATTTTTGAAGAACACATATCAAGGAAATGCTCAAGCATATCGACTCTGGTTTATTCCAAATGGGCGGGGGCACTTTGGATGGAGATAGCGTTGACGGAAGCGCCATCATCGCCCGTGCTAAATCCGAAGCCGATGTACTAGCTGTCCTCAAGAACGACGTCTACGCCAGAAGCGGAGTCTGGGATTTAGAAAACATCAAGTTTATTCCTGTATGTATATCAATCCAAGGCGAGTTTGTAATTAACGAAGGAACAGTTTAAATGCGTGTACAGACGGGAGCATATTGACGGTGCCGTCATGGGCGCTGGATGGGAATTCTGAAGCGGGGTTACTGGCTCAGATTAATAATTCAGCGTACTTATATAAGGGCCAGTCCACTAATTCACATTCCATCTTACTAAAACCAACACCAGTCAACATCAACGATGGAGTCAATTGCCATCCTTCAAAAAGGCAAAGGCCTCACCCAAGCGAATATCAACCTGCCTCCCCTCAGGGAGCATCAGGTCTACGTAAAGGTTGAACACGCAGCCTTCAATCCAACTGATCGTACGTTCGGCCGCCTATCTAGAAACTGTTGCTGACTTGGAGAGGCCTGGCTCTTGACGTCAATGCCTTCGGAGATGACGCAGTACTGGGCTGTGATTTTGCGGGTAAAGTCGTGGATGCCCATTCAACTGTGACTAAACTGAAGCCCGGCGATAGTATTGCTGGCTTTGTATGGGGCGGTGGGTTCGACAAGGCCTTAATATGTCGATAGAGGAGAAGCTTATATGTTGTAGGAGAGATCAAGGGCCTAGGAGCCTACTCGTGAGTCTGTGTGACATTGATGGCACCTTCGATGAAGCTAATTAGGACTCGCAGGATGTACACAATTGCTGACGAGCGACTTTCCTTCAAAATACCCGAAAACATCAATCCGGCTGAGGCTTCATCAGTACCTCTGGCCGCTAACACAGCATGGCTTGCTCTGTTCTCGGACGATTGCCTTGCGCTCAATGCCGACAAGACAGCTAGTAAAACCCCCCTGTTAATCTGGGGAGGTAACAGTAGGCATTTAGACCAGTACTCGATATGGAAGCAAACTAAGTGATTGATAGCAACCGTTGGCTACTTCGCCATTCAGATCGCGAAACTTTACAATATCGAAGTCGCTGCGACCTGTAGCCCTAAAAGCTTCGATAAGGTGCGACAAGCTGGCGCAGCTCATGTCTTTGACTACAACGATGAGGAGGTCGTATCCAAGATTAGATCTGCACTTCCAAACCTGCAGCATGTGTTTGATACAGTTGGCAACGAAACCTCCTCGGCGACAGCCGCCAGGTCCGTTAGTCAGCCAGAAGGCGTGCTATGTACCGTTCGCCCAGGAAAGGCCAACACACAAGACGTTCCATCCCATGTCAAGGTCACGGATGTCTTTGTCTTTACTGCTTTTCCTACAGAGCATAGCTATCGCGGCAAGGCGCATTGGCCTGTAAGTGTCATCTGCATTCGCTAGCAATTTACTTGGCCGTTCTTCTAACATCTTGATAAGGTGAAAATGAATGATCACAAACTCAGTGCCGATTTTCATGGCCAATTAGAGACACTACTCGGAAATGGATCTCTCAAGCCGTCTCCTGTCCGTCTTATGGGACAGCTTAGCCCGTCATCTGTTGAGAAAGCGATGGATCTCAACCGGCAAGGTTCGATCTCGGGTGAAAAGCTTGTCTTTGAAGGATTTCCTTAGCGATCCCGATGAAGACGATCACAGATAAGAGATATGTTATTCTTCTTGAAATATGGACTAAACTGCCTTATCCTTATCATTAAAAGAATGTTATGGTCTTGTCTTATCAATCTGTTGCCCTTGGTTAACCAATACATCGCATTCAAAAGATTAAAATAGAAAAAAAAAACACAAAGCCCAACTGCAAGTCCTTCACAGCTATCCGTGTGCATCCTTAGGGCACTACCAGCATAATCATTGCGACGACATAACCATCAGGGCAAGCCCATAGCCTGTCAGGGCCGCAAAAGGTGAGAGAAGTATTCCCATTACCATAGCCGTTTAGATCATTCTGTGCAACAACTTCGCCGCTTGTGTCCAGCTGGAACACTCTTCCCTTGCACCCAAACACGGCTGAGCGTCCGGTCGATACAACACTCGTGACATTCCATCCGGCTCCAGGGAGGCTCTTTTTATAAAAGGTTTCCATGGAAGTAGCGTCCATGCAGATACCATAGCCATTGCATCCAGCATAAAGGCGATTTGAGGTCTTGTCAAGTGCAAGGTTGGCTTCGTAGCTTCCAGCAGATTTACTGAAGTCTCGCTTTTTGAGGACAACCCCGTCTGTTGCTCTCAGTTGATAAACCCAGCCAATATTGGCAGCGTATACAAAATCGCTGCCATAGAGGACCGAAGTTGGTTCAGAACCGCCTTTGTCGGAGACATCCTGTTCCCAATGGGTAGAAGAGAGGTCAGGCAGCTTGTAGGCACGTATGAGGCCACGAGTACCAGCGACAAGGACCCCGTTATCAGAAGAAATGTCGAACCTGATATCAAACCCATTCTGGTCGATGCTTCGTCGGTTTACATGAGCGCCGTTCAGAGTCCAGACGTGCACAGTGCCTCCTGAGCCGGTATAAATCCGATCATTGGTAAGCAAGATTCGAATTCTTCCGTTAGAATCTGGAACTTCTTTGGACCATCGGGGTTCAAGGGACATGGGATCGAGAGAGACAAGCTTTCCATTCGTTGCAATGAAGAGAAGCGACCTGTCCTCAGAAATTGCGACAGATACCTCCTCAAAGCCATAGTTCTTGAGCTCCTGCTCCGCTTGCACGACACCTGTCAGCCTACTAAGGCGGTACACACGGCCTCTATGTCCAACATAAAGGTATTCTTCAGTTGCAACCGTATTAACTGCTTGTGTTCCTGGCGGTGAGAAGTACCAGAGGATAGGGAGATGGTCTTTGACTCCCATTGCTCCCTCTGTATGGACATCGCCCTCCATAACATTGGTGGGCTCTATCGGTACTTCGGCTAGAGTCATGAGTGGTGCATGTTTGACAGTGTCTGTAGATAAAGTATCAGGCCCAGCAGGGGAGGTACCAGGGGGGCCATGGTTGATTGGGCTTGTGGTGATAGCAGACATTGTCTTCGAATGTGATGGGTGTTAAAGATGTTGGTAAGAGTGTTGGTGTTTATGTAAAGATTATTGAGGATGATTTAGCATTATTAGGAAGCATATTTAGAACATTTATATAACATTTAAGATCCTTGTGTGATAATGGCAATGGGACGAAGGTCTATTCGACGCTGATACCTTAATTGTGGCTAGCTGAATGCAAACGAAGTCAGTCTCGCGGCTGGGTTCGGGTGACCATGTCACGGTAACTCTACAAGAATTCATTGGCAATAAATAGTAAGAACCTGCATATCACATACCTCATCAACCAAAGTGGCTGGCTAATGCTAAACATTGAGTCAGATGACATGATCTGTGACGTCTATCGGTTAGGATATGAACCCTTCAAGTATTCTTTAGGCTTCTCAGCTAGCCACTGCTTCTGTCACTGCTTCTCGCTTAGATACACTAACCGCCAATAGATAACTACCCCGAGGCGTGGATTAATGTACCCAGCTGGTATAAGTCACATTCTTGGGACACCACCAAACTCACTGGTCATAGTTAGTTTGCCATCACCGGACGGTTCATCGACAGCGCCACCCCTATTGCAGACTCCCCGGAAAGACAAGGTTGGACAATCTTACTCGTTTATTGCTCTGAGATATGAATAGTCATCTGATACCTGCCCTAATATTGACGTGACCATATGCAAAGCGTTAATTCTCGGTGGCTCCGGCATTACGCTAGCCCAGAATGAAGAGACTGAGATTCCGTGATATTCTTCAGTCCACTCATATGAGTGCGGCGATAGTGAATATGATCTGACAAATGAAAAGGTTGTCTTATAATATGCCACTGTAGCCAATTGCAATTTTCGAGCAGTCGCGATTTCCATTGGCTCTTAGACGCGGATTTATTAAACTTCGTAAAGAAATTGGCTTGCATTATATCTATGCAATAACCTTATTCAATGACCGGTTTAGCTTGGAAATCAGCTGAGAATGTGTAAAGAAAATCGGCTCTCTCGCCCAAAAAGCCGAACAAGGCTAAAGGCTATGCACTCCTCGTATGACTGCGAGGCGTTCATTTCAATCTCGTTTGTCTCCGTTAATACTACCAATCTGCCTTTTTTGCCCTGTGGCTGGCTGAAACCTAGCCAAGCACCCTGCTCAGATCTCTCTGGCGCTTTAGGACATCGTGTGATAGGGTGTAGGTCTAGTGGCGGGGCCTTGGAGATCTCCCCATTTTGGACTGGGTCCTAAGAAACCCCAGAGTTGCACTGCCCAGGCTAGCCAGGCCACGCATCTTGACTTCCTGCCGACTAGCTAGAAGTAGCATATCACAGTCAGATACTATCAAATTGGATCAAGGCCTCCGGATACTTCCAACTGATATCGAGGGTAGCCATCATCAATCAGCTCACTGTGGCGCATTTTAGTTCAATATTTCCAGTAAACATTGAAGCAAACCCCGAGTATGTATGGTAATCACATTCCATCACAAAACATCCAGCACTGCTGAAATATTGGGCTAGACCCTGTTTGGGCTTTCAGCTCGAACATGTTGCAACAATATTCTCAGTACGTTTTCTAAACTTACAAACAAACTGCAATGCATGAGTCTACCTACCCAACTCCTTCTCACATAACTATATCATATAACTGAGTCTCTAGCATAGCACTTCACATCTGCTTATGTCAAGTCATACATCTACTTTCTGTGCAGAATGGCAACCACTAATTATGAGAATTTCCATGTGAAAGATCTTGACTTCTCATGTCAGATATTCCTTCAAAATATGTTGGATCAAGACCTGACGTTGGAAGATTCTCACATCGATTTCGGAGAATGGCCCCTGCGCCAGCCCACGAATATCATAGAAGGAGGGAGAGAAGGCGTCGTTTATCTTCAAGGCCGTCGTAAGTTTCTGCAGTGTCAATTCTTCTGTTCTCTTCTCACATGATTTAGTTCTCGGCGAGTCCAAAGGTCGAGTAAGTTATGAGGTTCAACTCAATGATAAGTTGGAGAACTTTATCCTCGAGTTCCATTGTCCATCTCGTCCATTCAGCAAGAACTATCTCCACGTGATCTCCTGCTCCAGCGGAATATCCGTTGACGTGAGAGGTCTCAACGAACGGGGTAGCCCACTTAAAGGTACGTGTCCATGCTCCTTTTTCCTGTCTGGCACTGGCTAATGTAAGCAGGAAGTGTTGATGTCAGAGCCAACCCGGCCCCCGTGCAGACAGAACATTTGGTTGTGCGGAGTTCTTCAGATATTGACCAACGGAGCCTAGAGACGAATTCCCACGAAGGTTCAATCAGGGTCAAATATGATTTCGGTCTCAAGGTACCTTTGCCTACAGACAACTGGGACAGGCGTCCTATCCATGAAAGCATAGCAATCGCTGCTTTCATCCGGTCAAGGATACCCTTTCCTAAGGGGAGTTTTTACAACAACATCAATGATAAGCAGTGGGAGTTCTTTCGGGGTATCATCTGGAATGATGACCCCTCATGTCTATTGTTTGTCAACGATACTCATGACAACCGTCATTTCGGGGTCGGGTACGATTGGGCCAAAGCCTATCTTGGATCTACTAACGATCGCCGCAACATGACGGTGCGATCCCATCGCGGCGATTTGCAATTTCTTCATGCCATGGGCAGGTTTGACGGTGATCCCGCAGATGATACCCGTACACGTATCCTGCAGTGGATGAAGGTCATGTACAAACTCGCCTGTGGCAATCAAGGTGTATCTGCCAACGACCCATTGAAGAAGCATTTTCCGACGGACTACTTCGACAGTCGGTCTACTCCTACGCAAGATTCTTCTTTGCGGGACCTTTTAATCGCAAGTACGCCAAGATATGCACATATCAACGTGCAGGCTCGTGCACTTGGAAGCTGTCTTCACATCATTTCAGATTCTTTTTCCCTGGGTCATACACAACGACGACTAAGAAATCACAAAGATTTGATAGACCGCGATAGTGAAGGATACATCCGATTTAGGCCTGGTGTATATGGGGACTGGGGTCCGATACTTTGCTTTCATAACTACGATAAGCAAAATATCTGGAGACATCACCATTATGATACGCGGCGCAACAGCGAGGACCCTATCCCTAAGTATATCCAAACTTTCGACGAAATCGTTGGCGCTCGAAATGCCATTGAAGCTTCAATGAAGCTCATCAACCTCTTTGCCGACAAGGTTTCTTGGGAACCAGACGTTTGTGGATTCCTTAAAGACGAAGTTTTTAAGTTAGATGAGAAGGTCCAGCCATCCAATCACTTTGTGGATGAAGAAGTCATATCTCATGTCTATGAAGAGGGATTTCGAAATGTCGACTATGATTATGAAGCTGGCATGCAGCGGAAGTTGCACAGCCTTGACAGAGCTTCGCGCCGTCGATCTATCTGGTGGGGCTTGTCCAGTCGGTGGTTATTAGTAGCTTTTGGAATCTTCGCTACCCTATCTCTTTTATTTGTTTATTCAATTACCTCTAAATAGATCATTTGGGGGATTTCATCGTTATTTGCTCTGCTATACAAGCTATTTCGTATTATGTATTTAATCCCTTTCATACCTAAGATAAGAACTATCAGCAGAGATATTCCGTCGCAGCGTTTAATCCGACTCACGAGAGTAAAATTACATCTTGTGCTACGCGACTGCAAACCTTGCATCACTGGCCAGATTAGGTGCTAGCAGTCTGGGGCTCTCGATCGACGATTGAGGTCAGCTTCATCTTGTCTCTTGTTCCCTTTCCTTGTACTTTATCATTAATACAGTACGCGCAGTCTTGGCATCAATCCCAACCATGGGATGACTCTGTACCCTTTGGGATGCCTCTGCTTATTATTCGTATATATCAGATTGAGAACATCTTGAGAGAATATGTCTCTTCTGCGATTTCGAGATCCACCGACGTGCCTCGATGCTACATAAACACTATCTCCACTTAGCCAAGAGACAAAGGTCCCTCGTATACATACGTCACAGCCACTTACTCATCATCCCAAGAGTCATCAAGCCATGACAAACATTCCATCCCCTTGGCACTTCCGTAAAGAACCTCTTGGCCCTATTTATCAGGCTATTTCCCAAGATAATCATCTCTTGATAAGCACTCAGAATACCCAGTAGCGGGGTCGAGATAAAGGCTGTATACAGATCGGGAAGTTGGTATTATGCATATTCTTAGTGTCGGCTTGGCATGTTGCATCATCAATTACCGACCTTCCCGATTGACGACTGATCTTCACGGACTAGTTGCCAAACATTGGTGATTACTCCGTGATAGAGATATTTGCGGGGCGGATCACGCAAGATTGTCGAAGAATTGAAGGAACTTGAGCTCGTTGATGAGGGGTTGCTTATTTCTTCTGAGCATTTCCCGGGTATAAAAGTGAAAGGTCTCTGCTCTCGAATCTTGCCTCTGACTGGGACGTGAAGCCATTCATCATGAAGCTGACTACAGCAGCTGCTCTTCTGGCCATTTCGCCTTTGGCGGATGCTACAAAGCCTCCAGTGAGCTCAAAGAAGCTTCAAAAGCTCATCACGGAGAAGGGGTACGTTATAAAACACCATTCAGATGTCCTCCACTGACCACCTCAGGTTGATGCACAACTTGAAGAAACTCAATGACATCGCTTACGCCAACGGAGGAAACCGCGCCTTTGGTCTTCCAGGATACGCCGCCTCAGTTGACTTTATCTACCACGAAATCTCAAAGCTGAAGGGCTTCAAGACATGGAAGCAAGACTTTCCTGCCAACTTCACTCAAACTCTTGCAGCTGAGGTCACTGTCGAAGGCGAAACGTTCAGAACTGTCGCTTTGACTTACACCCCCAGTACATCTGAGGACGGTGTAACGGCTGAGCTTGTCCATGGTCCTGAAGGCACAGCTGCATGCGATGCTGCAAACTACGAGGGGCTCAATGTTGAAGGAAAGGTTGTACTCGTTGAGCGCGGTCTTTGCCCTGATGGCACCACTTTCGCTGGCAAGGTTAAACCCGCGGCTGCGGCTGGTGCTCAAGTCGTTGTTATCTATAACTCAGACGAGGCCAAGCTTACGGCTGGTACTCTATCAGCCCCTAACCCAAAGGAGTACGTCCCCACTGGTCTTATTGACCAAGACCCCGGAAAGGCGCTGAAGGCTCGTCTCGATGCTGGTGAGAAACTCGAGGTGTTTGTCAAGATCATCCAGACCATCGAAACACGCATCACCCAGAACGTCTTTGCGGAAACTAAAGGCGGCGATGGCGAGAACGTCGTCATGCTGGGAGCTCATCTCGACTCAGTCCAAGCAGGACCTGGTATCAACGATGATGGGTCGGGAACTTCGCTCATCCTCGAGACAGCAAAGGGTCTGCAGCACTTTTCCACCAAGCTCAAGATCCGATTTGGATGGTGGGGTGCTGAGGAGAACGGCCTTGTTGGATCTCGCTACTACGTCAACAATCTTAAAAGCGATGATGTTGACAATCTCCTAGCCTATCTCAATTTCGATATGGTATCTCGTGGTTTCTTTGGTGTTTTCGATGGAACCGGTGAGAAGGTAGGTCCTGGTGGACCTCCAGGCTCAGACGTTATTGAGGATCTCTTCAGGGAGTTCTTTGAGAAGGAAAAGATCGAAGTTACACCCGTTGGCTTGACTGGCGGAACCGATTATGTTGCTTTCCGGGAAGTCATCAAGAAACCAGTTGGTGGTCTTTTCACTGGCACTGGTCTTGAGCAGGATGCCTGCTATCACCAAGCTTGCGATAACATCACCAACCCTGTTCCTGAGACGCTTCACATCAATGCGAAGGCTGCTGCTCATGTTCTGAGCAAGCTCGCTATTGATGGTGTTAAGCTTATTCCCAAGACACCGTCCAACACTACTGTTGGTTCTATCAAGAGGGTTAGAGATGCAGCTTCGTTGCATTTGCATGATATCGCTAGTTTTGAGGGAAAGCCCTGTGACCACGATATTATCTAAGGGATTGGAAAATGAACCTTTATAGATATAAGCATGAGGAATTATGATATCGCAGACCGTCTCGTATATTGCCGTTTCTGTGATATGAGCGCCTTGCTAATGCCACCAACTCAAAATATCAATACTAGCCTCTGCTTAAGTATCCGGCAGAGACTGGTGTCTCGTAAGTGGTAAGGTTAGGCGGCTGGGACATTTGAAGGTCTTTTCAAGCCCCTCATATAATCATCTGGTTTGATGGGGAAAGCATCCTAAAGAAAAAGGTTTAGCTAGCCATCTCAATACCGCCTAACCCACATGACATCAAATGTCGAGATATGGCCAATGTGTCTATTAACCTTGGTGCCAGTACTTATCACGAAAACTCCGGAAGGTGGAATATAGGCTTGTTTGGAGTTACGTTGTTGGGGTCAGATTGGCGAATTCAGACTGCCTAATAAGCTCGAGAAACCATCCTCCCTTGGTTATATTCCCAGACTTATGTCAACTCAGCTGGCAAAGCCTCTTCCCACCATTCAGTCAACATAATTTTGTATTGCCCTTATATAAGCCAGATTAGTTAAGGAACCCGTAGTGCTAGAAGCAGGAGCTGGTAGATGTCAATCTTGTGGCCTGTCAGATATGACATATAAAGTCATTTACCAGGCTGACTTTAAGACTTATATATGTAGGTAAGCTTAATTAGACTTTAAGTTATCCTTATAACCCAAGATACTAGGTTTTAAGGTTTTACAGTATGGTATTATCTAAATATGTCTTATATCTATCTCCACTCCAAGCAACTTATAAAGTATTTTTTCCCATTTAGAAACAGTAAACTTCCTACTGCCTGTTAGCAAGACCAACTCTTACATCTTGTAAGATAGCATTACGTATTGGTTCACGCACGGTTCATTATTATCAATCTTATTCATTTGCTACCAAAGAGCTCTTACACAGATCTAGTATTGCTGCTCAAGCTCCGTTTTTGCTCGATCTTCACCTCGGCGCTTGGCCTCCTCCTTGTCAAAGAAGTCCAGACCCCTGGTCTCAAACTCTCGTTCGACGAAAACGCCAACGGCTCCGACAATGAATTCCTTGGCCTTGGCATGGCTATCTGGCTTGCCTGTCCACTTATCAGTATCGTCTCGTTTAGTATCATGAGTTCATCTCACCATTCTTAGCAACATGGTCCTCATATGCCTTGGCAGCTTCGTAGGCTGCGGCGCCGCCGATTATTTCATGCGAAAGTTTGGCGTGATGCTCCGGGTTCTTAGAGTGTTTGTTGTAGTCATTGAACTGCTCCTCGACTAGACTGTCATCTAATATCTCAATCAGCCATAAGGTTTCTTAGAGAAAAGGTGGGGACACCTACTATCGAACCAACCCATTCTGAATGATTTACTTGATAATACGTAGTAGTGAATAAGTGATGAAGATGTAGGATGTTTGGATAAGAATTGATGCACGTAGAAGAGCTGCAACTTTATACCTTGAGGGGTCCAGGGGTCTTCTACCTAGACCAGGCTACCCTACTTTATTCTGGATATGTCGATTCTATTCCAAACTTGGAAACAGGCGGGCTGCCTCTGGCACGTTTCAAGCCATGACGGTGTGTGAGCCAGTAGTGGCTGAAGCCGTAGCTCATCGGATCTCACGGCTCATAACACAAGGGCCACTTCGGCAATCGATGCCGTGCGAACTCGGATAAGCGGCGCCTTGCGCTCCACCGCACCACGTAATCATTGCTATGATGGGCTCATACTCGTTGTAGAAGATGCGGGGTTTCAGCTAGCATTGAAATGAAACTGGAGATGCCGTCTTTGCCGGGAGTTTAAGGGGATTGCCATAGCCTACTAATGCTTCGTGGTGATGGCGTGGCTAGCGTGGCTGCGGGAGTTTCCACGCTACCACGTTAGCTGAGAGGGTTGGGCAATTAGCGGGTTTGCGATATTGGAATCCATCCCTGGACAAGAGGGGAGCTATGAGGGGAAGGGGAACATGATCGAGACCACATGATGGATAGCATCCAGAAAAGAAAATGAGCCAATACAGATTTTAGTATATTGGAGGTTCTGTTGGAGTATTTTTATTACCATAGCTATCATACTGGCGATTTTCGCTATTTATACTCCTCCTTGTGGCTGTGCCTGGTCCAAGCGCCAGAGTCCACTGTCCAGGTATGTATTAGTGGTCGTTATACCTGAACAGATTGACATAACATATGCTTCCGTTAGCACTAGACATGTGAATCGTTTCTATGATCTTGCGCCTCCTCGCTGCCACCTCATGAATATGAGATTGCTTGTGGGACATATTCGCTCGTTTCTCAAGGGTGTGAGACTTATAAAACTTTTGCAGGAACTGGTTATTGCAACTGGCGTTGCGCAGGTGATCCCCAAGATACTACAGCGCTAACTGAGGCAAAGTTCTGATTTCAGCCTCTGGCTATTTGAACTAATAACACAGATTGAGAGAAAAGTGGCATGTCTAGCCAATAGTAGGTGGGCAGTCAACCTGGCTAATTTTAGAAACGCAGTAGGTTGGAAATCACATCCCCGATAAGAAGACCCTATTAGAAATATACACTGAAGCAACTTAAGAGTATCAATTTAGTTTGTATAAGTAACAACCCTGATGGGATTTAAAAGCAAATCGTTAACATATAGGGAATATTTATTCTTATTAGTCTTTTCTTTTTAATAGATGTATTGATCAGGGAGATAAGGTCAAATATAACAGATTTAAAGCTGTAACAAGCACTTATCTACAGATACAATCCCATTTCTCCTTCAGGTCTATCTTGCTACTCTTGACAATGTCTGAACTTGTGGTACCACTATGTGACGTTCGAGACACCGGTCTGGGCCACATTAATAGTGCTCGAGGACGCAGGAGTGACCAACACAGGCCGGTCTGGATCTATCACGATTTCGTCTAGTCGTTTCATCCACCCATCCAAACCAATTGGAGTAAAATCACTCATACGTTCCGGCTCGTCAACATTCACTGTTGTGTCACAATCTGAACCTTTGGGAGGTTCAGGTGGTTCACACCCGAGAATAGGTTTGCTATCGGCAATGACCAGCTTCACGCCACACTCTTCTGCCTTCTTGAGCTCCTCATCTGTGATACGATAGGATATTATCTCTCGATACACCTGTTGCATCTTTGGAAGCCAAACGTCCCGTAAGAATGTATCTAAGGTGGTTATGCTTCCATATCCATCCCCGAAATACGTAACGAGCTCTTCCAACTGTTGCAGCGTGGCAGAGTCCTCCTCGTGTATCTCGTCGATCTCATCTGAATCCATAATAGAGCATAACCCGCCATGCGCATGTTTACAACAGGTGTGACGGAGTCCTAATGCACAGAATGTCGCGTAGCGTAGGACGGCGCGAGGCATCCAGCTCTGTGCAGTGTGTTCTCCGGCAACTAGAGCTTGGATGCTAGCCACGAAGGACCTGATACCCTCTGTTAAAGTAAACGATGTTCGAGGGAAGCGACGGCGACACCCAAGGCCTTCCAAAAACTTGATAAGAGGTGTGCAGCCCTGTGACGAGCAGTGGCATCGACAATCATCGCCTAGGACCTCGGAAAAGGCGGCATCTGCAACTGACGGCGGCAGAACATTGTCGTAACGCCTGTGAAGGTAATATCTTGCCTTGTAGCCTAGAATTGACATGAGATAATGAGCCCATGTGGCTCCATCAACGACCCCAGGCAGGAAATCCACTGGTACAGTTGATTTAAGGTCACCGCCATATTCGAGCATCCAGTCGACGTACCAGGGAGAGGGGTAACCATATGAACCTCTTTGAATAACATCACCCGTTACGCGGCGGAAAGCGTCGATAAAAGCAGTCTCTCGGTCAAAGCCCAATGAAAAAGCATACTCAGCAGTCTCTCTGTCAAGTATATAAGTATACACAGACTTTGGCGTCTCCTGCGATACTGCCGGTTGTTTGTCACAGTGTACCTTGAGGTAACTTGGTACATTGCAGGACTGAGCTGTAAGACAACATTGCACCTTGAACGCATTTCGGTCCAAGATCCAACCTCTACATAGACCAAGGTCTTGTATCTGAGCAGCAGGAAGATTTGAAACTGCTAGTTGTTCCAATTCCTTCCTTCTCTGTGCCAGATGCTGGATCATGGCTGTTTTGGTACGTTTGCATGGTTCTCGTAGGCCCTTTTCCAGGGATCGCTCATAGAGAACTGCCTTTGAATCAAGCAGTAGCTCTACCATCTTACAACTAACACAGGACTGCTGGTCATCTGCCTTTGGTCTCCCAAGAAGGTAGGAAAGTTCCCTAAGAAGGTGGGAAACTGCATAATCGATCGGGTATCTTTGCTTACTGTCCATGATGTTGAAGGCTTCGGGGTTGATATCTTCGATGACGAGCGACAGTATGTCTAGATTTCCGACTAGGACAGCTATATGAACGGGTGACTGTCCACAGTAGTTGACTTCCATTCTGAGCGATGGATATCTTTTGATTAGGAACCGAACGTCTTCTTCGTCCTCTCTTAGAACTGCGATGCTCAGTGGGTTGAACCCGAGACCTAGTTTATCTTAGTATTTTTATCCGAGGCCGGCTAGGTTTTCAACACTATTGATTACTTACTTTCGGCAATCTGGGGAAACTGTTTGAAGATGCTTCGTCTTTTTGGGTAGTTGTCAAAACCCCTGACGCTCATATAGTCATGTCTTGTAGACTCGCCACACCGAGACAAGAGTGCTGACATAGTTTCAGGGAGTGTGTTGGTGTTAAGTAACCATTCACTTTCTAGTACGTAAGACAAAAAACGTAAACTGGTGTGTGAAAAAATTAGTGCATGTCGCAGATGTCACCCAGACATGACATAAGGTATAGTTCTAAACTCACTTTCCGTCTCGGTCGTAGGTAATTGGCACCTCAATGGCAGCGAGGGACCGAAAAACGAATGCTACATCGTCTCCAGGTTTGTTCCCCAGGCTTAGCTGTGAACATCCATAGTTAGCACATACGTCAGCTAATTCCAAGCTCAAATCAACTCACGTTGCTTTTCAGTCCTGATGCCAGGATGTCAAGCACTGAGTCGCCGTTACTGTTTATGTCCAGCGGAGACGCTTGGCGGTTGGCATAACATAAATGAAGTCGCCGCACACATGACCTGGCGATCATCTCGCATTCCTTGCTACCCAAGCTTGGCTCTCTCCATGTCTTTAGGGCACAGAGAGTCCTGACAATCTTGAAAGAAGGGGAGGAATTGTCATCCACCGTTGCAGCCCACGTGATGTTCTGGCCCATGCTAAATCCGCCAGCACCAGTCGTGAGAGAGACTGAAACACCGACAGCGGCTGTCAAGATACCCAGGATGTTGGGAATGGAGACTCCGAGGACCCTTGTCTTTTGTTGCTTGGAGGTCATTACCTGTGACAAGGGGCATTCGGGCGCGTGGTATGTTGTCCTTTTGAGTTCCGTTTCGAGAAATACCAAACCCCATCGGCCAGCCTTGCGCTGAAGATCTTGACGTTTCGCACAGCGACAAAATCCAGGCGTTGCATTGCTCAGGCGGCTATCAGAGCGCACAGGCTGGAGAGCTGGCAGCTCAGATGGTGGTCGCTGGTTGAATGCAGCATTTGAAACAGCATCGCATAATATTTGTAGATCTTGTGGGTATGACACAAGCCGGGCAACCTGTGACTGTGCAGTTCCGGCGTTGCGAAGATGGGTGAGGATTTCGTCGATCTTGGATTCAGCAGATGTATGAATGGCTTGACTATCCTGGCGATATTGGCCCAGCTCGATAGCTTTCTCTACTCTGATTGTTGAGATGTTTTCTGTTCTCATTTGGATGCTGTCGATCGACTTCTGCAAGGCCAAGATGGCCGAGCTCTGGTCGTTCAAAATGGAACTGATTTAAAGGTCGAGTTAGCCAGAGCATGCCGAAGGACTTGAAGGATCTTTCTCACAGTTGTAAAGCAGACAAAGCTGTCTTAAGAACGTTATTGGTAGACATCAATCTGTCCTCGAGCTTGCTAATGCTTTTCTTTTTGAAAGGATAGCTCCATTGGTGCATGGAACTTTTCGCTTTAGCAAAGGGTTCCGCATGGTGAACAAGCGGCCCCTTCAAATTCTCGAGAAGTGTCCCCAGAGCTTGAAGCTCAGCCTTACACAAGTCTTTGCACTCCTCAACAGCATCTTGGGCTAAGGCATCTGGGGTTAAGGCATTGTTACCGTTAACTTTGCTTATCACCTCTTCAATGGCCTTGAGGGAAGACAGCAGCGCCTTCGCGTAGCGCTTAGCTTGCTGAAGATCTTCGTCTCGACCTTTGACAGCGTCGAGGTACTCTGATAACCCGGTATACACCTGGAGGCCAAAGGAGACTATTCCGACAACGCTGCCGGCTACGCCGATAGCCTCAGCCATACAGGTGACAGCCCCAATGTACGTGAGGCAGATCGGATTAGTTGTCTTACGGGAATACTTAGAATAATTGCAGGAGAAATGAAAAAAAGGGAAACGGGAAACGAGCGCTGGAAGGGGATCAGGCAATGAGACCTGAAATTGCGGCCTCGGCGCTTAGGCTGCCATGCGTCGGTCATGGACTCCACGGCGTCCAGCTTCAAACCAACGACAGTACCTCTGTCAATCTGTGCCCTTGATCTAATTGGCGTCCGGCTGTATACGCGGGGTCTACCTAAGCTCTGCGACCAATGACTTAAGTTTCTTTCTGCATCTTCCCGAGACCCTCATCATCCAGCTGGTTCCTCGCGTAATTGAGTCGCTGTAGCAGCTCTTTGTGTAACGCGCCGTAGCCAGGGCCAGTATGTAGTATCAATCCATTGACGCAGTAATTGTAACGACGCGACGATTTGTTAGATGCCGAATATATCGCCCGTCGAACCGAGTGAGTTCTCTGACCAGATCACCTTGGACGATTAGCACAGCTGTGATAATGGCGCGGGGTAAACGTACGGTTCGAGAGTCTTGACGACTCGCTGCGATAAAGTTCCACGTATTTCCCTGCACGATTAAGGCAAAAAGCCCAGATCGTCAACCGAAGGCGCCGTCTCACCATCGCCAACAGGTACAGAAGCACCAGCATCAACGAGTCGTTGTAGAAGTGTCAGATGCGCTGTTAGAAACGTCGCGACTTGGAGATTGGCAGTGTCCAAGCCTTCGCCGGGACGCTTAGTCTCGATGGGAATGGCAATTGGCTTGCCCAGCAGTGACAAGGCATCGGTTGGGTTTATTGATAGCGCGGGAAGACGCGCGCGAACGGTATCGACGGTACTAGAAATATTTTTCTCGTTGGGATCGTGGTGAGGATCGAGATAGACGCAAAAGTCGATCTTTTGGTCGGGCGCGAAGCGGATGCGGTAGTCGGGGATGACGGATGCAGATGAACTACCACTATTAGAAGAGAAGCCGGAAGAGCGATTGCTGTGGACTTACCAAGATGGCACATTGATGAGTCGCCGGAACGCACCCTTTGATCGGTTCCGAAGCGCCAAGCACAGCAGAGGGAAGTGAACTTCATGATTCCACGCTGCTTCAGACCTCCCTTTGCGAAGACAATCGCCCGCGGACTCAAGAATATACACCACATCATCGAGACTCGGTGTAATCCCCAATTCTTCGCGACGTCTAGAGCAGCAGAATTTTTTATCCTCGTAAATAGCAACCATGTCCGGATGTAACGCCCTCGCAGCTGTTTCATCTTGTATACTGTCCAGCCCATTCTCCCCAAGAATTCCTCTTCCACGACTGAATTGTAATAACTTCGTTCGCATAGATGCCAGGCTTGGGGGAAGACCGGATGGATCAGACATAGCGCGCGTTTCGAGGCCGTGGGAGGATAATGCCATGGCTACTAATTGCTTTCGAGGCGATGAAGCACTAGATCGACTGCTCGCTGAGGACATCGATGACGTGTCGCTGGGAATATAGACGCTCCGTAAAGGTCTGGGGGTCTTATCTTGTTCGCCTTCATCGTCGAATCGTGCATCGTTTGGACTTGGATTTGGGACTGCACCCTTCGTTGTCTTTCGCTTCTTTGTTGGTGCCTTTTCGGCAGCTGGTTTGGAGAATTTAGAAGAGTCTGGAGGTGATTTCGGATGTACAAACTTGTCCCTGATAGGCTCGAAGATTGGTATATGGTCGGAACTGGTCGAGTTGCGGCTGCGCTATCGCTTGCGAGTCGATCTTATAGCTTTTGGCTGTTCCGCTGGGTCGAGCTCGCGAGGGTTTACAGTATCGTCAACCTGACGCAGCCACAAGAGGATATCGACAGTCATTTCTGAGGATTCAGACTATCGTAGAGGTAAAATGAAGCGTTGACTGCTCTGGTGTTGACATTTTGGCTGTTCGTAGTGATGCTGTAATGCTTGATTGCGTAGATCAATTGAACGACCTGACATGGAAAGGTGGAGTTGGCTTAACAACAGCCACATGTGCACGGCCACATCACATCACCAGCCACGGCTTACCCTGAAGCTGAACACCAAAACCCAGAAATGGTATTCAGCGCGAGTCTGACCGTCATATGATCAAGCTGATGGATGGCAAACATAAAGAAACTCGTGTAATATCATGAGATGTTAAGGGAGACAAGTCATGTGCATTGAGATACATTGTGGTTGGAGACTTTATGGCCATTACGGTAAATGACCTTCAATAAACGCAACCCACGACAGCTTCATAGTGCACAAAATGGGTAACACTTCACCGACAACCTCGGCCCTCACTCTCCATGTCTCACAAGAAACTGCAGCCCAAGGCATCCCCCACAATCTCTCAGCATCACTCACAAAACGCACGTCGCTTCACATCCGCTGCATCCTAACCGACCCAGCCGCCAAGCGCACTTTCGCAGTCCACGTCCCTCCAACCGGGTCCAACGCCGTGATTATCTACGACGGTCCAGACGCAGCATCCCCCGTGCTCGCAACCGCTGCAAAAAACGCCAAGTGGAAGCACGACTTTCGCGTCAGTCTTGCTGCACTGATAGAAGGTCAAGACACGCGCGAGGAATTACTACGATGCACGACTGTGAGTAAACGAAAGGAAAGTTATTGGTTCGCTATGCAGCTCGGCAACAGCGTTGGGCGATTTGAATGGCGCTCCACGCGTGCGCAGGGACAAGGCTGGGGATGGAAATTGGTCAAAGACGATGAGGACATTGTAGCTATTTTTAAATCCCATAGGTCTTTGGGACGAGACAAGATTGGTGATTTGACATTCACTGGGAGTGGCATGAGTGGACAATTCGGACGACAGTGGGAAATGATGGTGTTGACGACCTGGGCTTGTGTTTGGTTCAAACATATCTAACTTGGACAATTAATTATGCAAATACTATGCAAATTATACCATCGATCGTGAGAATAGACGCGTAAAGTGATCTGCCAAAGAATCGGGTACCTTACGATGGTTCCACAACGCGTCGATCAGACAAAACCCCATGACGTCGTGACTTTTTCGCACCTAAATCCTGCCACGTAAGCGCCCATATCATCATAACGCCTCTCGTATATCGAAACTATCTTTTTAACAATTATAGAAGTCTCTACAAAGTAAAAATTCATTGCCGTTAACCCGAACCGTCAATTGAGGCTGAGCTGGTTGTCGCCCCAACAGCCCAGCCCCTAAACCCCAGGTCATCTGCTGTAACACTGCATGGAACCCTTGTCTCTTTCACTGCAACATTGACGCCTCACGATGAAAGTCACGACAGCTGTAAGCTATGCATTTTTAGCAGCGGGGGCTTTAGGGAAGGAGGAAGTAAAGACAGTATGCGGGAATCAGCGGTATGGCGAACTAAATGACTCACTGTCATGTACGGTCAATCTCACCCTGACCGTGGATATTGCTGACAACTGCAGATTACCCAAACGCATGGAACAAAAAGAGTCCCAAGAACGGCTTCGTATGCCTCAAAGTCGACAACAGCACGCCTGCATTCTCCGCAACGTGGAACTGGCCCAAGGACATCCAAGACGTACACTCCTTTCCCTACGTGCGCTTCAACAACCCGAATCTCCCCGTGCGTCTCAGCGACTTGGAGTCTATCCGCTTATCAACAGATTGGATCTACACACCAGGCAGTCCGTCGAAAATACCGGACGATTTTAGTAATGAGGTCTGGGGGAAAAATAAAGCGGCGTTAGAAGGAGACGGCGTGCAGGCGAATGCGGCATGGGATTTCTTCCTGGATGATGATAGGAATAGAACGCTGTATCCGCAGGTTGCGGCGGTGGAGTTTATGGTTTGGTTGGGAAGGGTGGGCGATCCGTGGTGGCTTGGACGGCAGAATGATAGTATCCTGTCGAATGTTACGCTTGGGGACACGGAGTTGTAAGTACACCACTCGTCCTTCACTGCAAATACTGACTGCTGCAGCTCGCTCTTCTATGGTCGAAACTCAGGAGGTACGCACGTCTTTACAGCCGTTACGAAAGATAACAGTGACGTACTATCCTTCGACGAGGATTTATACCCGCTGTTTCAGTACATCCTCGAACAAGCTCACAAACAAATCGACGCAGATGATCTACCGAAAGATCCATGGCTAGGCATCATTGAGTTTGGAACAGAGACGTGGATGTCAAGAGGAAACGCTACATTCACAGCCGCGAATTTTGGGATGAGTTTGAAGGGCAACTTTACGAGTGAGAGGAATTCCACAAAGAAGGGAGATGACGATAAGGATAAGGGTGATAAAGATAAAGGGGATAAGAAGGGAGGAGAGAAGGGCAGTGGGGATAACTCGACGGATTCGAAGGGTGATGAGGAGGATGATGCAGTGAGATTGATGAGTCAATCGGTGTTGGGATATGTCATTGCAGCGGCGTTGGTTATTAGCACGGTTCTTTCTTGAGGGTATTCATAACAAGCGTGCATCAGCATCTATATAGCGCTGTTTTGTATCATTGGCAGGAATTGTTGTCTCCCTTCAAAGGAAACATGTGTTTACAGGAGGATGAAGTTGCAAATTAGAGTCTGGGAACATAAACAAAAAGACACAGCGATCAGCGATATAGGAAAAACCCACCGAAGCGATTTGAACTCGGATATCCATCCAATCTATCAGACAGTAATGTAGTCTCTATGAAGATTGGCTATAGGATTCGCATCCTTCGGTTGGTGGGCCGACTACAAGGGTCCGTCAACCTAACTTCAGACATTAACCCACCTTATTCCCTCAACCCACGATCTTCACTCCATCACAAAACCAATCACCATGACATTACACACCTCACCCCCCGAAAGCCGTCTCCGACGTGCCATCCACGCCGTTCCCTTCCTCGTAATCACAGCCATCATGTCCCGCGCCTTCGCAATGGCAAAGCCAATCGGTCCAATAATCGAAGAAACTGTCAAAACCTCCAACTTCACGGCGCAAGACGTTACCGTACCTATGATTAAAAATTTCTACGGTGTACCTGTTCTAGATGATGTTTTCGCCGTGGTCACTGTTGCCTTTGCGCATTTGCAGTTCTTTACGGATGAGGAGGAGTATTGGCAGCTTTTGGTGTTCTTGACGGATTTTGCGGGGATGTATGCTGTTGTGATGATCGAGGGGTATCGACCGGGGAATACGTTTCCTGTGATCAAGTAGTAAGTGGACTTTCAGAGTTCGAAGTCTTTGCTAACATGATTAGCCCTGTTGTGTTTCTGTTTCTCTCTCAAATGTTTGGCATAGGCTGTCTTGCGCCTATCTTTTTCTTCCTGTTCTATATCTTCACGCCTGCTTACAAACTCACAACACCGAGTCTGTATCGCCCAGGCCTCGCACCTTGTATGGCTATTTTGCCTACGATTGTGTCGGGATATTATATCACGCACTTCCCATCATTCTTTCACACTTCTCTTGAGGCGAGGAATTGGTGGAATTGGATTTGGCAGCTGTTTCCTATCTGGGGATCTATCATCATGCTTGTGCTATCGAAGATCATTCCTGAGCCAAAGGAGCAGGCACCAAGGACATGGAAGCAAGAGCTTAATGCCATCCGACTCATAATCGGTGTCGTCAGTGCTATAAGCACGGCGACGTGGTGGTATACCATTCTCAACATGGACTCCAGTATCTTCGAAGTCTTCATCCCGCAGCATTTCCTCACCACGCCACAAGATCCAATCCTTGGGCTTCGAACTGTCATCCAATTCGACTACATCTGCTGTTACTCAGCTGGCTTTCTGTGGTTGGCATATCACTTCAAGGACCTTGAGAATGTTGGGGTTTGCAGTATTTCATGGATCCGAGCCGGCTGCGCTTCTGTTATGTTAGGTTGTTTGCTTGGACCGGGAACTATGTTTCCTCTCATTTGGCTTTTGAGAGAGGAGCTATTGGTCTCGACACAGGCTGATGTGAAGAAATCTGAAGAATAGATGCTTGTTAGTGGTTAGAGGAAATTTTGGAACGCCAAGCATTCACAAGCCCAATCCCTCCAGCCAGTAAGCGGCGAGATTATTCACCCGACCGAACAACATCTTCAGCCGTCATGCATATCGCACAGACTCTCATCTCACTTCACACTCATCTCATCATTCACTGCCCAACATGGCACGCCTTCGCTACAACGTCGCAGCAAGTCTCGACGGCTACATCGCATCACCAGATGGTTCAACAACCTGGATCGTTGAAGATCCCACCATTGACTTCCCCGCGCTGCACGCAGAATTCGACCACTTCATCATGGGCCGCAAGACATACGAAGTCATGCAATCCTTCGGCGCTGACAATCCAGTATCAAAACGCCCCAAAGCATCAGTCATAGTAGCCAGTCGCACCATGTCCCAGCACAATTTCCCCGATATCACAGTCATACAAGAAAACGTGCTTGATTACATCAGACGCCTAAAAACGAATGACGGGAAAGATATCTGGCTTATGGGCGGTGGTCAGCTCGCAGCCCAGTGTCTAGAAGCCCATCTAGTGGATACTATTGAAGTCGCGATAATGCCCACGCTTCTCGGCACCGGAATAAACCTCATTTCCTCCCTCCCGCAAAACATAAAACTTGAGCTATTGAACAGCACGAGCCTCGGCAGTGGGATCCTCATGACTCAATACAAAGTCATACAAGACCAGTAATAAATAAGCATAATCCTCCCGTATCTTACCCTGCCGTGCAGGCCGATTGGCATCTCCACAGCAGAATACGCCGTAGCCAATCGAGACGTCGAAACTTATTACCCAAAGGAGGCTACTTTTGGTGGCGAGACCCGCTGTGGCATTGACTCACACCCACGCCGATTGGCTGCGTCGAATATATGCGCCTCAAATGACCGCAGG